CCACATGGATGTGGGTGAGCATTTTACACAGACATTTCTAAAATATCTGGAAGAATTTCTACTTGAGAGAAAAGTTTAAAGATGAAAGACGTTAAAGAAGAGTAAAAGATGGGGTTTGAGGGAGTGTGTTAACAGAACGGCACTCTCTGGGCTTTCTTCAGCTTTTCTTACGGTACACTTCGGTGGTGGAATCGACTCTTTTACCTGGAGCTGTCTTCAGGCGAGATTCCGTTTAACGCACCCTTCAGCGTCTCCGTAGGATGCTGTTACTCCTCCGGAGTAGCGGCGAGTCTGTCCGACACAAGCTCACCTCAGTGGAAAATGTTATAATCCCATGAACCTCGGACGAGCTCGGTTGTCATGATCTTCCCGTCTCCATCAGAACTGAACAGAACTGTCCAGAACCGTTCCAGCACCATCCCAGAGCTTCTACCGAACTTCTAACAGAACTAAACAGAACTTCCATCAGAACTGAGTAGACCAGGAAGTACTGACCTTTTAAAGAGCTGTTTCCCGGTTCACTTTTGGGAGTATTACCATTGGTCAGAACCGACCAGACGGGGTGTGTTTTGTGACGTAAGAGGTTAGAAGAAAACAGGAATTGTTATGGAAAGATCAGAAATGTTCTCACAGACAGAGAGAGTTTTGTTTTGGCGCGTTTCAGAAACAGGTGCCAAAAACCTCTATATTACGTCTGAGAGGATTCTAAAAACATGACAGTTTTAACATAACAACTTGTTTTGCGTTTGACTCCAACCTTGGACCAACTTACACTTGCTCATTCAAAAGCAGAAATCAGAAAAGGCATAATTACTCTGTAACAGCTTTGACATGAGTTCTACTTTGCATGAGAATAAAAATCATTACACAGTTAATAAAATTGATTAGTTCACTGCAACATCTAAAATGGTTTGAACTAAGACACTTTGATTATCAACATTTGTAAAATAGTAATGATAATAAAAAAGAGAGTGTTCTTTCACATTGAATCTTCAAGAGAGAAAGTCTCAGGATGGGTGAACCTGTATTTCTGAGTTCAAATCAATGAAATGACAGTCCCTGTCCCACAAGGTTCTTAAGGTCAAGATTTTTGACCTTAGACTTAGTTTTTTACATGGGCCTAGTCCACTACAAGTGCATCCAGCATAAAAACAATCGCCAAGTCTTTGTACGAGTTCATTCGCTGTGGCGACCCCTAAAGAAGGGAGCAGCCGAAAGAAGAAAACAACACTGAAATGCCCCCAAGCATCTACTTGTTGTTCATGATGATAAATCATGACAGCTTAGAAAACAGAAAGAACATAAAGACAAAAGTGTGTTTCTATTGGTAAAAACAAACAACTCGCACTATTTAATTAAAGAAAAATGAACCTAAATGAACACAAACAGGCACAGTTGTGCTTTTGCAAGTAAAAAAAACCACTCCAGTAAATTAAATAACTAGTAGACTAACAGACACTTTTAGTTTAAAAGAATGAATGAGGGATAACCAGGTGCAGCGCTTCACTGCAGAAGAAGCATTTTTACTCTCAGAGCTCCTCAGAGACACAAACTGTTTTCATCCGTCACTCGTTTAGCTGTTAATTTATGCTTCCCGGGGTGACTGTCAACTTTTAGTTGAAGGCAAAAGGGCACATTTATTACAAAATATCTTGAAATTAATTAGCTGGAGATTAGAGTGGATTGTGCTCTGGTTTACCACTGAGGAGGGGGTTCAGAGGCAGAGCAGGAGGGTGTGGGCTCCATCTGGAGGCTGAGAGCTGAAACAACCTGACACAGCTTGGTCACAAATTAGTAGCTCTGAACCAGAATCAGAGCATGTTCTGTGTGAACGCAGTGTGAACAGTGAGAGCTGAATGGCTGTGCTGAAATTTGTTGAAGAGGCAAGAACTTCTTGTTCAATCTAAAAGTTAAAAAAAAATAAAAGATACCAGAATAAAAAAACCAGAATAACATTTAGTAAAAGTCAAAAGTAGTAAAGCTCTTATGGGGTGCCATTTGTAAAGTTGCGCAGTCAAAAATTAAGATCAATATTTTGGTTTATTTAGCTTTTAATAAGAAAAAAACAGTTGTTGTTTTTTAAAGTCATATTTTCACCATGTTATTCATACATTTATAAATGTCATAGTTCCCAAGTAAATATTTAATTTAAAAGATAAATATTTAGTTTACAAACTAAATACTTAACTTGCAACTTAGTAAACTAAATATTTAGGTGTAAATTAAAAAAATATATTTATACCTAAATATTTAGGTAGTAAGTTAAATATTATATTTGTTAACTAAATATTTAGTTGGGACCTAAATATATATTTTACAAACTAAACATTTAATTTCCAAAATAAATATTTAATTTGCTAACTAAGTATTATCTCGGACCTAAACATTTAACTTGCTAATTAAATATTTAACTTGTTAGCTAAATATTTAACTTGCAAGCTAAATATTAAACTTGTAATTTAAATATTTAGGTATGAGCTAAATATTTAGTTAGCAAATTAAATGTTTAGTTTACTAACTAAATATTTAGGTATAAATTAAATATTTAATTTACACCTAAATATTTAGTTTACTAACTAAATATTTAACTTGCTAGTTAAGTTTTTAATTTGTAAACTAAATATTTATCTTGTCAATTAAATATTTATTTGGGAATAATGACATTTATAAATGTATGAATAACATGGCGAAAATATGACTTTGAAAAAAACAACCTATTTTTTTCTTATTAAAAGCTAAATAAACCGAAATATCTATCTTAATTTTTCACTGCGCAACTTTACAATAGGCACCCCATAAGCTCTAGCTAAAAGCTAAACATAGAAAAGTGCTTTCCAAAAGCTTAAAGTAGTAAAATGCTAGCTAAAAGTTGCAAAAACTAACTTAAGCTAATATAACAAAGGGTTAGATAAAAGCTACATAAAACAAAGTGTAATTAAAAGCCAAAAGTAGCAACACAGTGCTTAGCAAATGAAAGTAGCAAAATGCTATCTAAAACCTAAATGATAAAAAGGGCTTGTTGAGAGTCAGAAGTAGCTAAATTGTAGCTTAAGCTACAAGTATATGTATGATATTATTTAGTATTTCATTGTTTCTAACTATGTTTTGTGTTTTTATGTTTTTATTCCAGATGTTTGTAATTATATCTTATTTTTATTTGATGCTGTGAACTTTTTGTTAAGCACTTTGGTAACACTTCCTGTTTTAAATGTGCTATACAAATAAAATCTGACTGGACTTGACAAATACTAACTAAAAGAAGCAAAATGCTAGCCAAACGACAAAAGTAACAAACTAAAAGCTAAAAATAATCGAATGGTTAGCTAAAAGCTGAATTTAGCAATGAGCTAGCTGACTATTTAAAGTTGCAGAACAGTAACTGAAAGCTAAAAATGTCATAAGACGACAAATTAAGGCAAGTAAAGTGAGTTAACACAGTTTATGAAAGATTAAAATTGATGTCTGTGCATTTCATTTACAAAAAAATGTCTGTAGATCAAGTGAAATAATCTGTAAAGTATAAATTGTTACAAAAACAAAAGTCATAGCAATAAATGGGTAGCTGAAAAAATAAAGAATTGTGAAGTAGTCAGTTTGCAAAAAATGTACAGAAAAATAAAATAAAAATACTGGAAAACAATAATGCAGCTGCTGAATCAGCTTTTCACACAATGAAAAAAACAAAACCAGCTTGTGTGTGTAAGTGTGGGGGAATAAATAATCTACTTTAAATTACACATCAAGACTCAGTTTTACTCCAAAAAAAAAGGAAGATCAAGGCAGGGTAAGAAATACAGATAAGTCACTTTAATTCGGCGTGTCATTATTCACCTGGGATGAGAGCAGGAATAAAAACAGCCATACGTCACCGCTGTAGCCCTGTCAGAAAGTCCCAAGCTCTGCCAAACTCCTTAAGTACCACCGACAGGATTGTGTGAGTGGGTGTAAATAAAAGATAAAAAAGAGACAATGAGACGTGAGGAAGGACACCTTAGAAACCGACAACCAAAGAACCATCCATTAAGGTAAAAACATGTAAAGTGATTTCTGAAACACTTACCTGCAATAAACCACATAACCACATGCATCGTTGATTATGATTGGATTCATTCAGTTTTATTGCCATTATACAACACATTGTACATTAGTTTTTGTCTAAATGCTGCTTTATTGTGTTAACTCTATTGTATGAAGCAACTGTGTTGGCCATAATTTATTTAGAATAATAAAACAACAACATAATGTTTATGCTTTCAGTTTGGCTGTTTTAGAGTACGTCTTCAGCTTCTGGTTGAGTATTAAAGTGCGCTATTATTTATTTTCTTTACAAGCAAAACATTTTAACTATTACTAACAATATTATTTTTACATACCCTGTGTGTCTATAATTTATTCGGTTCTTCCAAATAATTGTATAATAGTAGGTGATAATACACACAATCTGTTGTTATAAGAAACTCCTATAATAAGCAAATTGCATAATTGTATCTAGTCAACATGAAGAAAAATGTCAAATATTTATCAAAATTATCATAATAGTAGGACATATGTACAAAATTCTCCATAGTTAGCAGCTGTTTGAGCAGCCAAATAACTAACTTGATGTTTACAGCAATAATTTAAGATTTATATTTGTGCCAATGTTTGTGAAAAGTTTAGTCAATTTCAACAGTTGCTCACAGATTTGCATACAAGGTCCAAAGAAAGCATTCATGTCCTCAAGTTTGCTCCTCAAATGTCTAAAGATGAAGTTGACATTGTAGAGGAACTGCATCTGATCTGAATATATTCTGTCCCAATTTATTTTCTCAAATCCTTGTGTCTTTCTTCAGCTGTACTTCAAATACAAAATTGAGCAACAGCAACTATAAATATCTCTTATACTTGCACATGTAAAAGATGGAAAACATTTTGAACCAATAACTCATATTTTTAGCAAATCGAGCTGAATATTTCCATTTGGGGAAATATTTCTGTAACTCTTCTTTCTGTCCTTTCAGCGCCGTGTGACGCCGATGCCTTCTTTTGTCACAGTAACATGTGCATAAACTACACGCTGGTGTGTAATGGCCTGCAGAACTGTGTCTACCCCTGGGATGAGAACCAGTGTAAAGGTGAGATGTTTGCCTTTGTATTAGTGTGATTCTAATGGACTGATTCATCCCTGATGGTTTCAGCACCACGGACAGTGACATGACTAGGAAGTTGGAACACTGTACTGTAGGCAGATAATGCACCAGTGTCGTAGTGAAGTCATCTACTGCCATTTATACTCTTGCAGCTCATTGCGGGAATGGTCCGCAGGTGCGTGCTTGTTGGCGCCATCTGGTGTAGAGAAGCTGCAGGAGAAAAACTGGAAATCCCACAATGTTGCTCAGTGTTTGGCAACGTGACAACCTATTAGTGAGCTGCGACAGTGTATAGGTTGCCTTTGTATTGGTGTGATTTTAATGGACTCATTCATCCCTGTTGGTTTCAGGACCACGGACAGCGACACATATACAATAAAGATGTGTTGCAGGAACTGTGGATAGTTGTGGATAACTATATTTTCTAATGTATAGCTGGTATAATCTGTTTGTTGAAATCCTGAGCAGAATGACGGTGCATGTCATTCAGCACGGTGATGTGGTTATATTCATAAAATGTATATTCCTAGTTTCTATAACTGAAAGTGTGTGTTAAAAATGTTTGACAATGATGTATGGTTTTGCTGTAAAAACTACGGTGGCCCTAAGGTGTACATGAACAACATTTGAAAAAATGGAATTACATTTGAAAAAACACAACAAAAACAACAAAATCCCAACATTTAAAAAAACTGAATCACATTTGAAAAAACGGAATTATATTTGAAAAAACGGTATCACATTAGAAAAAACGGAATTACATTAAACCAAGCGGAAGTGGCTGAAGCGGAAGTGGCCCGAATCACATTAGAAAAAACGGAATTCCATTTGAAAAAACGGAATCGCATTTGAAAAAACTGAATTACATTTGAAAAAAATGGAATCACATTAAGCCAAACAGGACGGTTTTTTTTTTACTTTATTAACAACATAAAACCGAACAACAAAACAATATACAGTACACACACAAAGGAGATACTGTTAGCAGGCTATCCTTTTAACTGTATCTCTTTTATGTGTGTACTGTATATTGTTCTGTTGTTCGGTTTTATGCTGTTAATAAAGTTTTTTTTCTTTATCCTGTTTGGCTTAATGTAATTCCGTTTTATCAAATATAATTCTTTTTCTTTTTTTTTTTTCAAATAGTCATTTACACCTTCGGGCCACCGATTTAAAAAAAACCTCCTGGAGTTTGTTGTGTCTGATTTGTTAGTGAAGGGCTGTTTGATTGCTGCAGGGTTTGCACATTTCTTTCTTTCTTTCTTTCTTTCTTTCTTTTATGTCAGTGATAACGTTTGCAGTGAATAATGAATTTGGATGTAGAACCATCTACCTACAAGACCTATTGTGGTTGAAAAGTGCATACGTAGAGTGTGGTCTGTCTGTGTTCTCTGTGCTGTTTGGTTCTGTTGTCACTTTATGTGCTAAGTTTTAAAAGTTGTGAGTTCCACACATTAACTGAACAGAGAAAATTATTGTTTTATTCTGTGTAATGCTGTGACTAAACTTTAAAGAATCTTTTTGACACATTGTAGCAATTACAGAACTCATGGATGAGTCATTCCTCATTCAGACCAACACCTTCCCTTTTGGACAGTTTAAGTCTGACACGTGCAGGAGAAACACCACCATCTTTCCCAGTTTGTTGCTCTGTCTTCCTGCTGATGAACCACATTTGTCTTCATTAGTGCTAAAATGTCACGTTTTATTTTCTTCTTCATTACACGTGTAAACGTAAGCGTTTACTGTCGCCGTAGCTTGACGCACCGTGCTACGACTTCACCTGGCATTTAAATGTCAAAGATCCGTGTACAGATTAGTATTCTGCACACTGTTTGTTGGAGCTTACTCTTTGTTGATTCCAGTCAGGATAACTAGACCAGAGCTGTGATCACATCTGACCTTTTCATCCAACTGTAAGAGCTCATGGAAGCCTGTTGGCTTATCTGGTGCATGATAAACGCCCATTTTCACTCACATTGCTAATCTGAGCTGTCTTTTATAATAGTGTACATTTTACTCAATATTTTGTAGCAAGATGAGAACAAGAAACCTGGGAACATAAAACTTTTACCCTAACAACACTTAAAGTAGATTTTTAGAAAATGTAGATTTTTCTATCCTGAAAACAGAATGAACCAAGGGCTTGAAAATTTGAGAGTGTATGAGCCTGTGGGATGAAACACAAAAAAGTTAAATCTTGTCATCTTGACGATTTCTTTTTGGAACAAACATTTCGTCTTTCATCCAAAAGACTTCATCAGTCTGAGGCCTGCCACCATGATCTGTCCTATAAATAGCACCTTATTGATGTGTTGTAAGCTAGCCTGATGTGGAAATTCCAGAAACTGGCTTTACATATGTAAAAAGGGGGACCATCGGTCCAAAACAATCGATCATCAGTGCATAACAATCAAATGTTTTAGGCCTGATGGCCAACTTGCTACTCACAGAAACAGTCAGAGGACCACATGGCCAAAATGGTGCAGAAAAAAAAAAAAGATTTAAAAGCTCAATCATCTAGGTAAATAAACGACACAAAAAAAAGTTCATGTCGCAATAAAACAACAAACATGTCTCACGTTCAGGTTAAGTTTGATGGGAAACATGTGCGCTCCATTTGGTTTGCTATTTGAAGATACCGACTTCCATTTTGGTGTGTGGCTACATTTAGGCGTAAGAAAGTTTCCATTTGAAAATTGGGTTGCCACATCAAAATCCAAGATCCATCCGGACTTTGCTATTGTACGTAGTTGTGGATAAAATTGCTCTCTCCACTCACCAGGACCCTTCACTCTGTGCTGCACGAGACAGGCAAAAAGTAGATACATTTTAAAAACTACCTCTGTTCTTATACACAGTGCAACTCCTACCCATTAAGGTTTACTCTCATCTAGGTCCAGTTCAGAAAAACTCAAAAACTACAAACATTCACCGTTTAAATCCCTAATCAAAGGAGGGCATTGTCTTATCACGTGTTTTATATAAACAAAGTACCTCCCATACCTGCAATGAATGTTTGTAAGATATGACCTGATGGTGAAAATAGTTTTCATCATCTTGGTAAAGCCTGTATCTCACCAGGCAATAACTCTTGTAACTATTTTGGAGACACAAAATTGTGAGAAAATACACATTTTTTTTCACTTGGACTCGCACTGAATTGACACGTTTGCACAAATATAAAAGCGTCTTGTGAAATCTGAGTCAGAATAATCTAGAAGTACATTTAGCTATTGTGCTACTGTTGTACAACACATTGCACAATTCACATGAGAGTCTCGCATTTACATTAAACCTTTTTGAAACTCGTGTCGGCCACTCAACAGTCACAAAAATGTTGTGCAATGCTTGTGCAATAATCCAATAATTCTAAATCAGGCCATCTGGACAGTTTCTTTTTTTTATATAGAGATGAAATGCCCTCTATCCAGAGGGCTTCATCAGGCTGTGACTGCCTGCCTGGGAGGAGTCGACAGGGGACAGGACGGCCCCCAGAAACCATTTTAGCTCCAGCAAACTGGTTGGTTCACTTAAGAAGTTTACTGTTTTGTGGGGAAACAGTTTACTGGAACTCCTCAGACTGATGAAGCCCTCTGGATAGAGGGTGAAACGTCTCTATATAAAAGAAACTGTCCAGATGACCTGACTGAGAATTATTGGATTTGATACCTGGATGATTGAGCATGAACTTTATTGCTTGTGCAATAAGTTTGCGTGGCGAATGAAAAACCCAGACTATGTGGGACCTCACCTCAGTCCTGCGATCATTTGGTAGTTCGACTTAAAGCAAAATGAAAAAAAAAAAAAAAAAAAGTCCATGCTCAACAATCCAGGTATACAATCCAACACATTTCAGTCAGGTCATCTGGACAGTTTCTTTTATTGCCGAAACGTTTCACCTTCTATCCGGAAGGCTTCATCAGTCAAAGAAACATACAACACAAAACTGATTCTTCCCCAAAACAGTTTACTCCAAAGTGGAACAAACCAGTTATGTTGGTGCTAAGATGTGTTAAAGCAAAATGGATGTCAGGAAAGATGGACTGCTGAATGAGAAACTGGATCAGAACCAGGCAGATAGACTGAAGGCCGCATTGTGTCTTTTTGCTGCTGTGCAGGGGCTTTAAACTCTGCTTCTCATTGTTGTCATTACTCAATCACTATTTGGCTTCACAGGTCGATAACTCGAACAAAGCGTCTTACATGTTTTGCCCTTTTTGACTTGTGCAGAAACTAAACTGAGAAAGATTTCAGATGCTTAAACATGTGTGAACGTTCCGTGACACAACAACGAAGCACTGTGACTGTATGAGAAATTAAAAACTCTCGCAAACATTTTGGACTAATGTCGTTCTCAGTTTGTCGCCAACAGTTGCGTCACTTCTTGTTTTTCACCATGTGCTGGTTATGTTCTATTCAAGATGTTCCTCGTGTTTCTCTGCCTCTCCACAGAGAAAACCAACACCAAATTTCTGGACAACCTGAACTCTACAAACGGAGCCATAATTGGTGTCACCTGCTGCATTGTCTTCATCCTCCTCATCATCTCAGTGATTGTCCAGATAAAACAGCCGCGTAAGAAGTACATCTTGCGGCGTGAAGACTTTGACCCCACCATGTTTCAGGAGGTCTTTGAGCCCCCTCACTACGAGCTGTGCACGTTACGGAGTGCCGCCGCACCTACGGCAGCTTCGGCTGATTTAGTCGACTTGGCAGAAGACTTTGAGAACTACCACGCCCTTCGCAGGGCGTCTTCTCGCTGCATCCATGATCACCACTGTGGCTCCTCCTCCAACCCCGGCTCCTCACACATATCCCAGCTGTCACTCAGTGGACGGGGCAGCCGTAGCAACTTGAGCGCCCGGGACACCGGAGCCGCCACGCTGCTCGCCGACCTCCCACAGCCGCCTATGTCGGTGCGCCCCCTGCTGCCGACCACAGGAAACCGCAGGAGCATCTTAGTCATGAAGCACAGCTACTCGCAAGAGGCGGCGGACAATGGATGTGACCTCGACGATGACCTGGAAGAAGTTCCCACCACCAGCCACCGACTGTCACGGCATGAAAAGGCGGTACAGCGGTCAGTATCTATAGATTTCTGATGAAGGAACGTGAGCTGCTCTGTAGTTAATCGTAAGAATGTTTGAACTTATGCAAGAAATGTTTCATTGAAGTTTTCTTTTTATTTTTTGTTCTTGTTCTTCCTTTCATTATTTACCTCTTTTTTTTATGGTTATAACGTTCACTTTTGAGTTGACCTCTGTCATTGCTCCTTTTTCCATTGTCTCAATCTGTCACTAAAGGCCGAAATAACAGATAAATACAGTTTGTTTCTTTTTGCATTCTCATCTTTGATTAAGTAATCCTGCTAGATTTATATTTTCTGAATTTATTTCAATTCTTCTGTGCTTTGAGGTTTGTCACAGTTGCATACCTTTTGTACAAATGCTGTAACGTTCCACATTTTGACAACAAGGGATTGAATTGGTGCCTCTTATAAGCAGCTAATATGCAAGTCAGAAAATCTGAAATGTGTAAAATGTATTCTATATGATATGTTTTAACATTTTGATATTAATAAGAAGTTTAATTACAAAAAGAACAGCACTTTGTTGTTGAATTGCACCTTGATACCTTAAAATTAATGTTTATGTTTATAAACATATCCTGTTAAGAATAGTAAAGGTACTCATTGCAAAATATGAAATTAAACATAATAAAGGGCATCCTGTTATCGGGTGCCGTTTGTAAAGTTACACAGTCAAAATTAACAGCAATATTTTGGTTTATTTATCTTTTAATAAGAAAAAAGTTTTATTTTTCAAAGTCATATTTTCACCATGTTAATCATACATTTATAAATGCATACTTCCAAACTAAATATTTAATTTCCAAGCTAAATATTTAGTTTACAAACTGAATACTTAACTTGCAAGTTAAATATTTAATTAAATATTTAATTTCCAAACTAAATATTTATTGTCCAAGCTAAATATTTAATTTCCAAACTAAACTTTTACTTTCTAAGCTAAACATTTAATTTTAAAAATAAATATGTAATTTGCTAACTAAATATTTAACTCTGACCTAAATATTTAACTTGCAGGCTAAATATTTAGGTCAGAGTTAAATACTTAGTTAGCAAATTAAATATCTAGTTTAGGAATTAAATGTTTATTTTGGAAATCTAATATTTAGCTTGGAAAATAAATATTTAGCTTGGAAAATAAATATTTAGTTGGGAACTATGACATTTATAAATGTATGAATAACATGATGAAAATAGGACTTTGAAAAGCCTAAATATTGCTGTTAATTTTTGACTGTGTAACTTTACAAACAGCACCCCATATCCCAAACCCTATGAGTTTTGTAGTTTAAACGGGTTTACTCCAGTAGTTTTTCAGCTATATATGCAGTTCTGAAATGCGGGTCCACATTCAATGTAAACAAAGTACTCCGCTGAATCTACCGAACACCGCACAGAAGTTTAAATCATACGACTGACCTACAGCTGACTAAAGGCCAATAAATGTGTAGGTAAATAAATGTGGCAGATTTAGACAAGCGTAGAATCTCAGAAAAGACATTTGGGTAAAATATGAGAGGGAATATTCTACTAAATGCTAGAAAATGGAGAAAGAAGTCAGACAACTGTCAAGAACAAGAATTAAGGATCAAGCAGAGCTGTGGATTAGCTTGAAGGTGGAGCTCAGCATTGAAACGCACACAGCTTTATTTCAGTTTTTCTGCAAGATTAGTAAGTTTAGTATTTGGGACTGTGGTAGCTTGGTGGTCAGTGCCATGGTCTTGTAAATCTGAGCCCAGGTTGCGTCAGGAAGGACATCCAGCATAAAACAAATTGCCAAATATTTTATGCAAGTTCGCTCACTGTGTCGACTCCTAAAGAAGGGAGCAACCAAAGGAAGTCAAGTCAACTTTATTTATAAAGCACATTTAAAACAGCAGCTGCTACCAAAGTGCTTAACAGTAAAATCAATGGGAGTAATTTAATGGGGAAAAGTAACAATAAAAATAATGCTAGTATTGAAAATTAATTACAAGCATTAAAAGAAAAACGGAGAAATGAAGAGCAATAAAATACTAAATAGTCACACTGTGTAAAAAGCCAGGGAAAACAGATGAGATTTTAGCAGAGATTTAAAAACAGAAAGTTATGTAGCCGGACTGATGTCGGGGGGCAAATTGTTCCAAAGTTTAGGGCCCATGACTGAAAAAGCCCGATCACCTCTGAGCTTCAGTTTTGTTTTTGGAACAGCCAAAAGCAGCTGGTCAGATGATCTCAGGGCCCGAGAAGGAACATATGGTTTCAGTAGCTCAGAGAGGAATGAGGGTGCAAGGCTATTAAGGCACTTAAAGGTTAGCAGGAGAGTTTTATGAAGGGAGGATAAAACTGGTGTAATGTGATCAGGTCTAGGAGTTCCTGTTAATAGACAAGCTGCAGCATTTTGGACAAGGTGGAGACGCAAAATGGAGCGCTAACTGACCCCAGCATAGAGTGCGTTACCGTAGTCCAGTCGGGTAGTAATAAAGGTATGGACTAGTTTTTCAAGGTCAGATCTGGACAACACTGACTCGAGCTAGCCTTCTGCTTTGACTGGAAGAAGCTTTTCTGCAGAACAGAGTTGATTTGTTTATTAAACTTAAAATCAGACTCTAAAACCATCCCAATATTGATAACAGACTGCTTAAGATATGGATCAAGATTTACAGGATCAGAGACAGTGGTAGAGCTAGGGCTAAACACAATGACTTCAGTCTTCTGATCGTTGAAACTTAAAGAATTTGAAGCCATCAATGCCTTGATGTCATCCAGACATTTTAACAGAGGGTGAATGGAGCAAGAACTATTGGATTTTAAGGGCAGATAAATCTGACAGTCATCAGCGTAACAATAAAATGAAAGATCATGTTTCCTCAGGATAGACCCCAAAGGAAGTAGATAGTGAAAACAAAAAGGGGTCCAAGAATCGAGCCTTGTGGGACCCCACAAGAAAGAGGCACTGACGCAGATACACGATTTACAACCTTAACACAGTAACTCCTGTCACTTAGGTAAGAATGGAACCATTCTAATGCTGCCTGTAATCCCAACCCAGTGTTCTAACTACGATATAAAGATACTGTGGTCCATAGTATCAAAAGCAGTGGTAAGGTTCATAAGTACAAGTATGTCAAACTGACCAGAATCATTTGCTAACAGAATGTCATTACAAACTCTCACTAAAGCTGTTTCAGTGCTGTGTAATTATTTAAAACCAAACTGAAAGATTTCAAAAATTCCATTCTCATTCAAAAACTTGTTTAGTCGAATAAAAACTATTTTTTCTAGGATTTTAGAACGAATGGGAAATTTTGAGATTGGTCTGAAATCTGATGCAGGGATGGGGTCAGCAGGGGAAGCTGAGTGTTTCATATGACCAGCAACATCGCTTGAAAATGAGATGGAAATGGGTTCAAACTGATTGAAGACAGCTGAGCAAGGGACAAGGACAGAGGGGTCCGCTGTAGGGCGAGGGACTGACTGTCAGTCACTTCAGCTCTTTCTGGATATTCAAGTCCAGTGGTAGTTGGCATCTGGTCACTAATTTTGGAAATAACATTTTAATTTAAGGATCCATGAACCCATTTGCCACTATTCTAGATGTAACCCTGCCTGTTGCACGATGATCGCTGGAGATTTACCTTTTTGAAGTTAATAATGAGCATGTGTAAAATCGCCCACAAATAGGTTCCTATACCTATTTCTGGTCGGTATTGATCTCTATTTCTTTACACCTGCTTTTTTATTGACTGTCACATACAAACATATTCGCAAATCAGTTTTATAGGTATTTTACGTTGTGGTAGAAACGTATGTTTCTGAGTGTTGGACTGCGGAGCACAGCTAAAACAAGTAGAGATGAACACAGTTTAGAATAAGTGTATTTCAGTGAACCAGATACAGAATATCTAGAATGCAAAGCATCAAAAAAGACAGTCTTGGAGCGTGCACATTAGTAACTGTAAAAAGGTCAACAGCTGCCAGCTACCCTCATGAGCCAAAAAGAAAAACGATGGAGGGATGATTGTTGTCCAATCTTCATGATTTTGCAACGAGTACCTTTAACTGTGTACTTTTTGATAAGAAAATACTTTAAATGCAATTGTTTCCTGCATGCACCTTCTTTTAGCTCCCTACTGTATTAATGCACTACAATTCTGCATGTGAGGCTCCTGCAGGCTCTCAAACAACTAATGAAGTCTTGTTTTTATGGAGCATTCTATGCAATCTGACCTCTAATGCAAAAGAAGTTTGATGTTAAATGAAAGAGCGATGACATTTCAGGTTCTGCCTCATTGGCTCTTTGAGCAAACATGAATCAGAGTACAACACAACTAGGGTCTAGGAGACAATCTCAAGGTAAGCCTGCTTATCTAACATTCAACATCTTTAAGTGTTGTCGTGCAGTCATCATTTGCTCGGTCAATATATATTTATTTTTATTTTCTGTAACTTTTGCACGAGCTTGGTTTTTTTTTTGTTTGTTTATGCTTTTTATTGATTTGCTGTTTAAATTCATTTTCATGAAGACGGTCTTGTTGCTTGCAGCCATCTTACGTTCTCAGTGACTTTGGAGTCTGTGATGCTCACTGTATGTCCTCTTCCCTTGAAAGCATACGTTTTTCTCTTTAATAGAAATTAGCGTGGAATTATTCATACATTTTAGGTCAAATTAGTATCTGTTTATGTTCACTTGGTTATCGTTCCACCCAGATGGACTACAGAGGATTTTATTTATGTACTCAGATAAACTTAAGATAAACTTCCAGTTATTGTCATGATTTTTTTTCATTCAACCTTTATTTTGACGGGTAAATCCCTCTGAGCCTCGAGGACTCATTTACAAGACAGACCTGGTTTTAACAAAGAATGACGACAACAATGGACAACAGCGACAACAATAGACAGTTATAAAATGATGATATGTATGTATATATATATATATACTGTATATATATTATTTTAAAAATTCAGTTTTTGGGGTAAGAAGGGAGAATGATGCAGAGGCATCGTTTTGTATTATGTGGGGGTTTGTTTATGTGCAATATCTACACTGAAAATGGAAATTTAAAATTGTAGCCACAAAATTATTTACCGGTAACATTAACAATTTCATTGTTAGGAACCGTGATGAAAACAATGGTTGTATTTTAAATAAGTTTTTTAAGTGGCATGCAGCTAAAACATTTTATCCACATAGTATTATTATTATTTTATTTATTTATTTTAATTATTTATTTGATTTATTTTTATTTTTTATATATTTAATTATTTTATTTTTTTATTTTATTTATTTACATATTTATTTTAAATATATTTTATTTTTATTTATTTACATATTTATTTTAAATATATTTTATTTTTATTTATTTATTTGTTTTTTTACTTTTTTATTTATTTATTTATTTAAAAAAATTGATAACTATTTTACAGAGCTTAAAGACACATTTTGAGTTTTAAAAGAAAAGTTTTTCCAGAGAAATCCATGACATTAACTGGAAGTTTGCAAACAAAAAAAAAGATGACACTATTAATGTTACAAATATTTTACCACATACAAATACAAACAGGAAGTGAAACCAGACAAAACTTTTTTTTTTCCTAATAAACTGATTACACTGATTTTCTTTCTTTCACACTGAGATCAAATTAGTATAACATTTTTACGCACGTAGAACTCTCTTGTAGATTTGCACGATTTGTGTCAGTTGTATATAATTTAAGATTTGCGCACAATTTATTTGCTTGCGTGTAACATTGTTTGGTGTCAAAGCTCTTTCAGGGTGCTTTCATTGAAGTAGCTAAAACCATTAAAAGTAAAATGCAATAATAAAACGGCTGTAAATAAAAGCCTGCAGCTTCGTGCACACGTTTCACAGAGTTGTCACGGTCACCGTTTCGTGTTTCAGCGTGAAAATGTGCTGTTCCGTGCGTGTGCGTGTGCGTGTGCTCATGTTCTACACTGTGTTGCATTGTCTCCATCATGTAGACGTCTTGAGAATAATGCTATCCTGGATCAGTGCGAGCGGAGCGGAGATGATGCTGCAGTCGAGGGGACACTTTGAGCAAATGTGCAAAGACGGACACAAAAGACTAAATGAAAACACTTAAACGGCAAAGTGGAGTTTTTATTCGTCCAATCAGTCGTCTCTGTTCCTTCAGTGGATCCTGATGCTTTGTTTAACTGTAGAATATAAGGAGCCCGTGAAGCTGAGCCTGTCTTTAATTCTTTTCTAACAACAAAGCCAGCCTGACTGAACATTTTTTAAAGTTTATTTTCAAGCATGTACAGTATTTTTAAAATTGGAAGGCAATTTCTAAATGGAACAATTTGTGGACTTAAACTCGTACAAACATTGAATTAAAGCTGTCGGGATGGCCAAAAGCTGCGATAACAAACTGAGGCAGAAATGTATGGCTTCTGCATGTTTCTTTTCTATCCAGCAGAATAAACTAAGAAGGAGAACCCATTAATTCATTAGTAATATGAGCGCCTAGCTATAGTAAATATCTTACCTGTTGTGGATAGCTTTTGAATAACCTCAGTTTGACCAAAAAGCTATATCTAGAGCAGGTAAAATATTAATAGTTCGTAATATTTCCACAGAAACCCACTTCAGAAGATCTGAACTATCATTTTAAGAGGATTTAAAATCATAAATCACATGTTGCTAAATAACTTTAATCAGCTAAATTCATAACGCATTCAGGTTCACAATCTCCTGGAAATATGTTGACTAGCTCTTGATGGACATTTTAATTATTAGAGAATTTATTTTAAAATTTTTCTGGCTGACTTCTCTTTTACTGCAGAAGCTCTTTGTACTGAAACAAATTTTTATATTGCGAATAAAAATGGAACATATGACCGTTTGTTCAATTTACCTTTGCGTGCTGATATTACCGTTGATTTTTAAAACCAATAAAATTACTGCTTTGTTTATTTTTCCTTAATGTTTTTTTTTCTGTAGTTCCGCTACTGTATATTCATTTAGTGTCCTCAAGTTTTTTTTTTTTTGTTTTGTTTTCACAACCTACATGAATTTGTATTTGTTGGGAGTTCAAAAAGCCAGAGTAAAACTAACCAAGAAAACATGCAGCAACAAGTGGGAATAAAAAATTTAAACATTATTAAGGTATCTAATGGACAAGTTAAATGTTATTGTGTGTGTTTGCCCTCATGAGATTGAAGCCATGTACATGTATGCAAAAAAAAAAAGAAGAAAGAAAGTACATCCTTTTTCAGTTCTAATGTTTTCTGTATCATGACTTGAATATAAACATCTTTTTTTTTTAAGTATTTAAAATAGATCCAAGATCAGATGGATAACAAATTATAATTAAATTTTTTTATGTAAGTCAGATCTGAGCCAGTTTTAGCAGCGATAAATGTTTCCTGTCACGCCGTTTTTATTGTTTCTCATCTTTGCTGAATAACTTTGGCCCACTCTTCTTTATAACAATTATTCTCTGCTGGATTTTTGCTGATCTGCTTGCGTTTAATGTGGCCTCGCATTTATCATGTGAGCCCAAAGGGTCGCAAAATCAGCCCCAATTATTAACCCTCCACCACCGTGTTTGACTATGAATTGATGTGACCTCATCTGTCCTTGGATTGTTCCAGGCTTCTTGTGACTTGTTCGGATGAGAGCTTGCAAAACTAAACGGTGCGTTTACATTATGTTTTTATATAAAAAAAAAAATCTAAAAACATTTTCAAACAAGCCAGTTTTTTTTACTGTCCTGAAATTTATGACAGAGTATTAGAGCCAGGCTAAGAAAAATAAATAAATAAAAATTACAAGAAAAAGTCATAAAATTACAAAAATAAAGTCGTATTACGAGAAGAAAGTCGTAATATTATGAGAATAAAATCATACGAGAATAAAATCATAATTTTACGGCAATAAAGTCGTAATATTACGAGAATAAAGTTCAAATATTATGAGAATAAAGTCGTATTGCTCTACAAATAAACTGAATTGCATTCAATTTAATTGTATTACGAGAATAAAGTCATAATATTATGAGAATAAACTCATAATATGTCCTGGGTCAGCTCGCAACTGCTGTGGACAGCCTCCCATGCGAGTCATGTGTTTATGAAGAAGTCTGCGTTCACTTTTGGGTCACTGTTTGTGAAATATGCCTCCATCCACATTATGTCACAACTAAATCTGTCAATGCAGCCATTAAGTGCAATGCCATACGGCTTCAGTTTATCATAAGATTATGCCACAGAGCGTTGGGCCCCTGCTATTGTACTGCCGACGTCAACATTCATCATTTTACCACCGACTGCTCTTTTGTGTCAGAGTTCTGATAATATTACAACTTTATTCTATACTTTATTATATATTTATTTACAACTATATTTATATGACGTATTGTTTTTATACTATTAGTGCTTAGTGTATTATTTAGTTGATGTATTTCTTAGTTCATATCTTATACCTTATTACTGTTTTTCTTTTACATTTTATTGTTGGATTTAACTGGGACCCTGTGTGCATAATCTCGTTCCACCACATGTACCACATGAGATGTGAATGACAAGTAAACCTTTCTGTCTCTGACTTATTTTGAGAATATTACAAGTTTATTATCTTAATACTAGGACTTTATTATCATATTATTTCAACTTTATTCTCATACTATGACTATTCTCGTAATATTTTGACATTATTCTCATATGACTTCATTCTCATAATACTATGAATTAATTATCGTAATATCATGACATTATTCTCGTAATACTGCAACTTTATTCTCATAATACTACAACTTTATTCTCCTAATACTACAACTTTATTCTCAGAATACTATGACTTTATTCTCGGAATAATACAACTTTATTCTCATAATATTTCAACATTATTCTCATATTTCTTTATTCTCTTAATACTACGACTTTATTCTCGTAATACTACAATTTTATTCTCGTAATACTACGACTTCATTCTCATATGACTTTATTCTCGTAATATTACGACTTTATTCTCGTAATACTACAAATTACTTCTCATAATACTACAAATTAATTCTCATAATAATATGACTTTATTCTCGTAATGACTTTATTATCATAAAACTACACCTTTATTCTCGTAATACTAGAACTTTATTCATGTAATACTACGACTTTATTCTTGTAATACTACAACTTTATTCTCATAATACTACAACTTTATTCTTGTAATACTACGACTTTATTCTTGTAATACTACAACTTCATTCTCATATGACTTTATTCTCGTACAATTATGACTTTATTCTCATAATACTACAACTTTATTCTTGTAATACTACAACTTTATTCTCGTAATACTACAACTTTATTCTCGTAATACTACGACTTTATTCTTGTAATACTATGACTTTATTCTTGTAATACTACAACTTTATTCTTGTAATACTACAACTTCATTCTCATATGACTTTATTCTCATACAATTATGACTTTATTCTCATAATACTATGACTTTATTCTTGTAATACTACAACTTTATTCTCATAATATTACAACTTTATTCTCGTAAAACTACAAATTACTTCTCATAATACTACAAATTAATTCTCGAAATATTATGACTTTATTCTCATAAGATTATTACTTTATTCTCATAATATTATGACTTTATTCTCATAATACTACAACTTTATTCTTGTAACACTACAAATATATTCTCATAATACTACAAGTTTATTCTTGTAATAGTACAACTTTATTCTCATAATACTACGGCTTTATTCTCGCAAATTACAAACTAATTCTCGTAACATCATGACTTTATTGTTGTATGACTATTCACATAATACTTTGACTTCTCGTAATTTCATGACTATAATTCTCGTAATGTTTTCGTTTTCTTAGTGGGGTTTTTTTTCTTTGCGTGGCCCTAATACTCCGTCGTATGAAGTTTAATATTAACATGACAGTTTAATTAGTTAATCTGAGATGTATTTTTTTTTTGTTTTGCATTTCTGCTTAGATTTTAGTAATTCATGATGTATGAAGCAGAATTTCCTTAAAAGCTAGATATTTTCTGCTCATATAAATATGATGTATTATGTGCTGATACATAAAACCTTAGAACTGAAAAAATCTGTCATTTCTTTTTAAAGTCATGTGACTGTATGTTTCAAAAGAGAAGTTATAATCTTGTATTTGAGCTTGGCAGAAGGCTTTTGTAAGAAAAATTAAGAATGAAATTGAAAATACACACCCTGATTTTAATAAAACTACACCAGTTGATTGTTTAGCAACTTCACTGAGCACATTTCATAATCACTTAGAGTGCTGGAAAAAAAATACATGAACTCTTGAATGTAGCACGTTTTAGAAGCTTTTGAGATTTAAATGGTTGAACTTGTGTTCAGTCAGAAAATGTATATTTACTGTCAGATGCAGATCACGCTGCAGTTTGAAGTAATGAATGCAAAAAAGAAGACAACTAAATGCAACATCAACACAACTCATGCCCTCCTGTGTGTTTTTTCTCAGTGTTGGCTCAGTCTGTGCTTCGTTCTTACTGTTGCAGTTTAATTTGCTTTGCCATCGACACTGTGAAATTCTGTTTCCATTGTTATGCACTGTATGTATTTACATTCACTCTTTGCTTCCATATGCATAAAGTCATATGACATATTCCTGCAAAAATTTAAATAAATCTTTTTGGTTTATTTCTTTCTGTACCTATGCCTTTTTGTGTGTGCGTGTGTGACGTCTCTACAATTTAGCACCTATTATAAATTATAATTTTGGGGTATAAAAATATAACATCCAACATATAAGCTCATTTATTTTCTCATCTCTCTACTATTAAGCATACAAAGATGTAGGAACATGTTTCAGTGGGGGCAGGGGGTGGGCTGGTTTATTTAATACTAAATTACCGTAATTTCTGGAGTATTGAGCGCATCTGAATATGAGCCACGCCCACTCAATTTAGCTAATTTTTTTCATATCTAGGCCACACGTGTCTATAAGGTGCAAGTGTCCATGTTGTAACATGAGATATTTAAACAGAAAGATTATTAAAACGTGTTTAAATATGTACCAGTAACATACACAATTGCATATAGAATTGTATTTTATTTTTTCTGAACAGTGCATGTAGCATGGCTGGTTGAAAAATAATAATACAGTAGCCTATACACACACACACACACACATATATATATAATTTGACCATTTTAATAATCTTTATTCTTTTTAATTGACCAGAAACTTCTAAATAAATTCTCAATGAAACCTGTTTCAGCATCTCACTGCCACTAGCTGGTGAGAGGCAGGTGATCTCAATTTAAACCCCGCCCACTGGAACCGGTACTGAAAGCATACAGGGGCACTGTGGATACAGAAAATGAAGCAGTCCTACTGGTACCGGCCTAATAAAGCCCAATTTGGCCCAACCCAACCATCACCTGTGGATAAGGGGCTATTGAGTCACAAGGACCACCCTTTAAGAGAGACATGTATTTGGCAGCTATGTGAGCACCCGGGTGTGACGAGGCTAAATGTTTTGGTGGCATGAAGCTCATTAACCCGTCAAAAAAAATCCATAAATTGTCCGCATCATTGTTTAAGTTGCAGGGTTCAAAGCGTGTGAAAGAAGTAGTGGCTTATAGTCCGGAAATTACGGTAAATACCCATTATTATCAAAATATTGTTGGAATTCAAACATTATAGTAGCTCCAATGTTCGTTGTTTTCATAATTTTTTTGTAAACCGCTGTGTTTGGACTCACATTTTCTGCACCATCTATCAAGGGGAGCTGCAGCACCCTCAGCACCCCCACTTCTCATGGCCTTGAGCACACAGTAACGAACTCGGTTCCAGATCCAACACGGAGGCAGTTCTAGCTGAGTCAAGTCGGTGTCGTGCAGCGCAGGAGGAGGATGAGAAACGTGCAGTAACGGTGTTTTTATTTCTCTGCAGATACATCAGACAGATGCATCACTCCGCTGCATCTTGCCAGGTCTGACAGCATTCGGAGCTAAGGTTTCTCTCCTGTGTGTGTCCTGAGTGAACTCTTGTCCTGAGTAACTTTACTCGTGTAGAGTGTCGTGGTTTTAACTTTCTGATAAGGTCTTTCTTCTATGCCTTGGAGGATGAAGGTTCGTTTTGTGCCGCTCCACACCTGGCCAGGGTGGATTCTCTCAGACAGAGGACTGAACGTTTGGCTCTTTGGGAAAGTATAATACCTTTAATGTAAAAAAAATAAATAAAATAAATAAATAAAACGCTGATAAACGGTGAAAAAGATTCAGGTTTTTAAAATACTTTCTTGCAGTTTTTTCCCTCATATTTTCTACTCTGATATGTTATTGCAGTGGAGACTGAGTTAATTTTTTTAAGACAAAATAAATGACAGAACAAAATGTTTATAATAAAGTTCATTTAAATTTCAAAACCCGGGAGAACGACTAACAAACGTTTTAAATGAATTCTTATATTTATGTTTTGATCTCCTCGTCACATTTAATTTCATCTAGGAGTTGTTTTTTTGTTAATTTTTTAATCCATTGTAGTTTTACTTTGTATCATGATATTAAAATGCTGGATCAAATGTTTTCAATAAACAAATGTTTTCTGATATCAGTGACTCATTTTGTTTACATAAAGTCAAAATAAATCACAGCATAGTCACAAAAAAAAGACTTTAAGCAAGCGATAACTAAAAAAAATGTCTTTTATTTTTACATGACACTTTTATTTGAGTTGTTTTAAGAAGAGAGTTATAATCTGATTTATTTAGAAGGGTTTATTCCTGCTGCCTTTCTTTGTTTGTTTTGTCTCAGTTTGTTGTCCCTGCTGTCTGTGCGCTCTATGTTTAGGTTTCTGAAATAATTATGTGGTCAGAGGCAGATATAGTTTTCAGTTTGAAAAATGTTTTTACAAAAGAATCTAACTAGTAAAAAGCAGTGATAGTAGACAAAAGACAAATAAAACCAATGGATTTTTACCTGAGAGTTTTGCACCTTTAATTATAAGGTCATTATGTCATTTAGACAACAAGTTGCATAAAAACCTCGTTAAATATATTTGCATTTATTTAATAGAATGGTCATTGATCCAGTTGGTTTCAACTTTTTGGGGTTTGATTTTTTTAGACAAGTAATTCTCAAAGTTGGGTTTAAAAACAGGTATTGAGATTACCTATAACATATATTGTTTGTAATACTTGTTTTATAATATATATTGCAACAACTTAAAAGTAGTAGCCATAAGTGGAAAAACATAGTAAACTGATCCTTGGAAACTGTGATTATTTAATTCATTAAAAATGCTGCTTATAGCTCTGCTAATATAATTTTATGGGTCAGAAGGTGAACATTTTAAAAATATATAGTACATTAAAGAACTGCTTTAAAGGATCATTATGGAGTTCTTATAATATCTGTATAAAATAAAAGTAAGTTAATTTAAAACGACGTAAAAAGAGTGCGCTGCTTTTGTTTTATCCTCGTCCGCTAGGTGGCGGCATAACAAATCGGTTGTGTCTACACTAATGAACTAAAAGAAGAAGAAAAATCTGAACGACGTCATAATCGTGCGACTTGACTCCAGTGTTTTTTTGACACTGCAATAGAAGTCGTAATGTTTGAAATTGTTCCTTACAGTTTTATTAAAGCAACATTTAAATAATTAGTCACTACAATAAGGCAGCCGCTGTAGCTTTCGTCTTATTAACGCGGCTTACTGATCGTAATATGGCTTATGTGAACGTTTTGAAAACCCTGTTTCATCGAAATCTGAAATCCGAAGTCTTCCTTCAGCAATGCCGTTTGGTGCAGGTCGTGCACAGGACATTGTCCACTAGCACATCTTCAGGACTGGTCCTCTTCAGGACAGAGAGACCTGCTCTGAGCTGTCTCACCGCGGCTCAGCGGCCTGTCTGTCTCCACTGTTCGGCCAGAAACAGGAGCAGCCCGGAGGAGAGAGACAGGGCGGTTTCCAGGTATCGGAGCGGGAGCCCCAAACCAACTTCACAGAAAGGTGTGCAGAACCCCTCTTTATATCTGTGCGCGGATTTTATGAAGCTGCGTCGTATTTAAAGGCATTTTGTCTTCAAAACTGTAGATCAGAGGCCACATCGTCAGCATGAGTGACAGGTGCATGTTAATAAAAGAACAAAAAGGCTGTTTTAAAACGTTCATCACACGTTTTGAATGTTTTTTGTTTGTTTGTTTTAAACTGAATGTGTGCTTCCAACCACTGAATTGTGTTTTCTTATCTGTTGGTGTCATTTATTTAATTAATTCAGTTGTTATTTGTATAGCGCCAAATAACAACAAAGTTGTCTCAGGGCACTTTACAGAAACATTCACATTCATAAAAGCCAATTAGTAAAGTTCTCTATCTAAGGAATCCAGCAGACAAGTTGAATCTTGGCTTCGTTGCAGTCTCCCATCCTGAGCAAGCACAGTGGCAACAGTGGAAAGGAAAAACTCCCTTTTAAAAGGAAGAAACCTCCAGCAGAACCAGGCTCAGGACAAGCGGACATCTGCTTTGACCGGCTGGTTGAGAGGACAGGAAGGAGAGACAGACGAACACAGAATGGAAGGTCCAGGTGTACGTCCAGGTGTACCTGAAAGACAAAAAACACATGTTAAGGATAGAAAAAATAATTACAAATACAAAACGGGTTGAGCAGAGTAAGTAAAGACAGTAGTAGAGTGAAAAAGTGTGGTCAGTTTGTCCTCCAGCAGTCTAAGCCTATAGCAGCATAACTAAGGGACAGCTCAGGAAACCCAAGCCGAACGTAACTATAGGATTTATCAAAAAGGAAAGTCTTAAGCCTAGTTTTAAAACTGGACAATGTGTCAGCCTCATGGACAGAAAGTTGGTTCCACAAGAGAGGAGCCTGACAACTGAAAAATCTTCCTCCCATTCTGTTTTTGGAAACTCTAGGAACCACAAGTAAACCTGCAGCCTGAGAGCGACGTGCTCTGTTAGGAAAATATGGAACAATAAGATCTGTAATATAAGATGGAGCTAGGTTGTTGAGAGCTTTGTAGGTTAGAAGTAAGATTTTGAATTCTATTCTGGACTTGACAGGGAGCCAATGGAGAGAAACTAAAACTGGAGAAATATGATCTCTCCCACTAACTCCAGTTAAGACTCTGGCAGCAGCATTTTATTTAATTGTGTGTTTTGTCTAGTCGGGTGGAATAATGGAAGATTTTCATTCATCATAAACAAGAAACGTGACCAGAATTTCATTTGAAGTCTCTTTACTTCTTATTTGAGATGTAGCTGTAACGTATTTAAAAATTTGCTCCAACAAAATAGCTCAATTTTTCTGAAGGATATTTGACATACGTCCTCCACCGTGGCAATTTGCCTTCCTTTTGTCAATCCTATTAATTCTTCAATTAATGTAGGTGCTGTGAATTGTCTACTGACAATTAGTTGTCACGCATGTTCTAATTGTATTACTGGTAGAGGTCTTAAGTTGCTTTTAAGTTATTTTCATCTCATTTTAGTGGCTGACAAAGCATTTCAAAAGATTTTATATACACAACTTGCTTATGACAAATACATTCGAACTCAAATGCTCTTGTTGAATGTCTTCTAGTGAAAGAAGCTGGTAAAGACTTCACCTACCTGATAATTGTGCTCATCGGGCTGGGAGTGACAGGTGAAAGCAGCAGCAAGAAGTTCCACTTCAAAACACAGCATCTGGTTTGACATCAAATCATAAACGTGCACTAATATTGTGTGTGTTTGTGTTGTAGGTGGGCTGTTGTATGTGGTTTTTCAGGAACTGTTTTCCTCCAAAAGCCCAAACAAAGTTTATGGAAGAGCCTTTGACAAAGTCAAATCCCACCCAGAGGTAAGAACGAGACGGATGACTTAACGTTTCAGCTCAAACTCACAAATGATGTTGCGTCGCTTTTCAATAAGTCTCTTGGTTTAAAACGCAGGTGATTGGTGCGTTTGGCGAACCACTCAAGTGCTACGGTGAAACTACCCGCCGAGGAAGGAGGCAACAAGTGAGGTGGGGGTTACTGTCAAACAGATTTTAGTGACTTAAAATCAAACTCTGCTATTCATAAATAATGTCTGTGTGTGTGGTCATTTTAATAAAAGTTTTTTTATCTTCCTTCTCAGTCATGCAGAGTACCTGAAGGATGGACTGAAGCACATGAGGCTGAAGTTTTACATCGAAGGCTCAGAGCCAGGCCTGAAAGGAACGGTGCATTCAGAGTCAAAAGAGGTACGCACCATTCTGATCTAAACAGCAATATATACACAACATGTCCAAATCCTCATATTTAGCTAAATATACATCCAAAGATAAGAGTGATTGCTTTCGTTTTGTTATTCCTACAGAATCCTGAAACCGGAAAGTTTGAGTTTCGTTATATTTTTGTGGACATCGACGTCTACCCCAGACGGGCCATTATTGTGGAAGACAACAGATGAGTTCTGCTGATCAGAACTAATATTTAGTATCTAACCGAAAAACAGGTGACACTTAAATTTAAACATTGTTTTGTTAAATTCGAACAATTGTGTATAATTTAAGAAGTCTGGGAAATTGCTTATCAAAAAGTAAAAACCAGTAGCTCAGCTTTACCTCTTATTTAAATGGATCATTTGACAACTGTGTTCCAGTAATTTGTTATATTATATAAATGAGCAGTGAAACTTTTTTTAAATAAACATAGATATTTTCACTTCTCATGAAAAAGCGATTTTTTTATTTTTTTTTTGTGCTCAGGAATTAAAACGCAACGACAAAAACCACCTTCAGTGTTTTCCTTTTCTTCTGACAATGTTTTCCTAAAGTTTTAATTGATCTTTGAGATTTATTGAATTTGATTTACACGATTTTTGTCATTTTAAAATAATCATTTGAGCATTAACTTTTTAATGAATGTTTCAAAAAAAAAATTACAGTATATGATTCATTCAAACGTGAACTGTAGTTTTCCACTATGAACACTAGATGGCGGCAAAAGCGTTTTAATCTCTAAAATACATTTTTATTGCAATTTTTCCTATTTTTCTCAACACAACATCCGTTTTTATTAAAATAATGTTATTTATAAGCCTTTTTTTTAACCCCAAAATAAGACTGGTCATGCATGAAAAATATTTATTGTCCTTCAATTATGTTTTTATTTTTAAAAACGTGTCAGGGTAATTACTTTTCTATAGTTTTTCATTTGTAATTGTTCAAATAAAATTACTCAAAACGGTGCTAACAATCTAAATCTACAGTGTGTTGTGTATTTTCTACTCTGTGGTGTATTTGTTTTATTGCTGCTGATTTATAATCAAATAATTTATGTCACAATTTATCAAACTCGACAACAAAAGGAACTTACCGTATTTGATAGTCCCGCAGCCCTGAGGGACGCCTCCAGAGCAGCAGCAGCTGACTCTTTGCTCTCCTCTGTCCGCCTCAGCCTCATATTCTGTTTCGTGATTTAACCGGAGGTGTTTTACAAGGTTTGTTGTGTTGCCTCATTTCTTTATAGAGTTTTTCTACAAACTTCACAAACCGCTTCTTTGGCTGTTTTTGGAGCTGAAATCGCTCCACACATGACACCGTTTACGCTCCTCCACTGTGTTTACAGACTGACTGTCGCTCCCAGGAGAAGGAAATGTATTACATCACATCCACCTTTGATACATTTAAAAAGAAAAGACCTCAAAAAGATAAAATTCACAAACATCTAATTAACACAGGAAACAGATATTTCAGAGTACATTTTTAACTTTGTTACATTTCTGTTTGAATTTCATCGTAAATCAAAAATATATCTAATCTCTATGAGAAGGTACTTGAGTGTCTTGGTTGATCCCATCACTCTTTTAAGCCCCATGTCGAAAACTTGGTAAAGACTTAAACCGTCTTTTTTTTATTTTTCAGAAATAGTTTCAAGGTGTTTAGTGTTGAGTTAGACGGGATCTGTCACTTTCCTTCCCTCCTCTGTCTACGCTGACATTATTTACATGAACTCTCCTTCACCCTGCAGATGTTGGATGCTGTCTATCACGGTGCACTAAGATTCATAACTGGCTGCAACTACCGTACCCACCACTGCACCCAGTATTCATTGGTTAACTGGTCATCATTAACTTCATGCAGACTCTCCCACTGGTACATTTTCATCTTTAAATCACTGTTGATCAAAGAAAATCCAAAAAAGTCCAAACTATCGAACTCTTTTTAACAGCAGTTTTAATTAAAATCAAAGTATTTTTTATTTGTTTTGAATATTTAATGTTTTATAAAATACAAAATATGATGTTGAACTTATTCAATTCAGTTTCTTTATATAGCGCCAAATCACAACAAAGTTTTCTCAGGAACGTTCACAAACATAAAAGCCACTTGGTAAAGTTCTTTATCTCTATTGTGTGATTATTCTCCGATAACTGATACAAAAACAATGAACTTTAAACAGAAACTTGAGTTTGACGGATTTTAACTTCAGACGTTTTGGCGTCTCCAGCTTCTCCAACACTAAAGCAAGGGAAGAGTTTCTCAGTGAACGTGTCTCTGGGTGTAGATGTGACTCATAATAATAATAATAATAATAATGCATTTTATTTGTCAGCGCCTTTCAAAACACCCAAGGACACTTCACAGCACTAAAAACACAGTACTAAACAATATAAAATAACTATTAAGAACACTAAACCAAAAAGAAAATAACATTTAAAAATAACAGTTAAAGTTAAAAGGCTTGTCATGTCTTCAGAGTTGCAGGACACCTCCCCCTGTCATAGTCCAGCTGGACCCTGATCCTCTGGAGACTCCTCTTCACTCCGAGAGTTTCACCAACAACATCAATGTATTCTCCATCTTTATGCCATAAACACCAGAATCCATATTTGTTTCGACTGACTCTTTAACCAAACCGATCAACCAGTCGGGATGATCTCCACCTCCCAGCTGTTTCCCTGAGCTGAAGCCCTCGGAACCAAAAACATCAGGATATTTGATGTTTCTCTCTGGATTGTCAGGAAGCTGCTGCCATGTGTCTCCATGTCGCACACTGGTCAGATCATCAGACACATGGAGATTAGCTGCTGCAGTATTTGGATCCAGAATGGCAGGACTGAAGTGGACCTTCATCTTGTCCCAGACTCTGAAGGACAAGCTGCCCGGGTGTTGGGCCACATCTGTCAGGGCTCCTGAGACCAGCTGTGGATCTGACAGTGAGCTCTGAATTCTGGCTCTGGTCTGAGTGTCTTCATAACACCTTGTCTTTCTGCAAGTCTTCAACAGCAGAGACACTGTCTGACAGAGAGGAGATGTGCTCCTGAATCATCATCTCGCTGCTGATGGTCTTCCTCTTCTGCTCCTCTTCCTCCCTCAGAGCTGCCAGTCTGGACTCCTCTTCCTCTCTCAGGAGCTGGTGGAGCTTGTTGAACTCTGATCTGTGTCTCTGTGGACAGCAGCTGCTTCTTGGAGTGTTGGATCACATTGTTGTGTTTGCTCCACATGTTGGTGTTTGTTCCTCTGGTCCTGCAGAGACTTCAAGTTAGAGCTCAGCTGTGCACAATAAGCAGCTTTAATTCCAGTCTGCAGACAGATGTGTGCAGCTGTTCACGGCTGAAATGTTTCCACAGTTCAGGGAAATCTCAGGCTGAACGCAGAAACACTGAACTCTGAGTCAAAGACGTACAGCTCATGAAATGTCAACTTTGAGCTGAGGGGTATTATTGTTTGCGAACCTAAAATTACAAGTAATTTCTACCATATTTAAAGAATGTGGCAGGGAGATCCTAACGTTAAACTTTAAATTTAAGAGTTAAAGGGTAAAAGCTGTCAAGTGGACCATCTCTGAGGTGAACTCCAACCTCACATATATCAGAGTTCTCCAAGCTCCACCATTTCAACATTCTTCCTGTGTCCTACATCAACTACAAATACTAGTTAGAGGTACTTTCAATCTAAAAAATTTTACGCTTTACACCTTTTCATGCTTCAAGGTCCCACAAAGACGTCACCTGTGCTGCTGAAGGAGCTTCAAGCCCATCAAGCAACCGTCAGCTCAGTTTATGAGCTTGTTTAATTTGTAAATAGTTTAAACTAAAATGTCTTCTTAGTGGTACTTCCACTGTTTGAGGACTGTGGAGCCGAACTTCCCAAAATGATTCAAACAAATCAAATGAATCTATAATGAACAGAAGTAATTAATAAGTGTGCTGACAGGTAGGTCAGAATCCACAGCAAAAGTTTGGCTGCAGTGTAAAAATGCAACAACCATCCATCTTTTCTGTAGTTTCACCTGCTTTGATCAAACATCATCAGCCATTAAATTCAATACAACTTTGTGTATAAAGCCCTTTAAAACAAATGGCCGTTATTAGTTATCATCCCCATAGGTTGTGTTCAGATAGTCCCTCCTGTACCTCCTAGTAGGTTTAAAGGTGCGTTCTTATCGCTGATAATAGGATCAAAGTTAGGTTAAGGCTCAAGGATCAGGGGATTAGGTTTAGTGTCAATGCTCTGGGTCATATGTAAGGTTAGGTTTAGGAAAAAGGTTAAATAAAGCTAACAAAAAAAAGCTTGTGAAGCTGCATATTATCAGCGATAAGAATGTACCTTTAAACCTACTAGGAGGTACAGTCTGAACGCAACGTATGGGGATGATAACTAATAACGGCCATTTAATGGCTGATGACATTTGTAACTGCTTGTAGTTTTGTACTTGTACTTATTTTAATTTACTTTGTTTTGTTGTCATTTCATTTATTGTATTCTAGATTTATAGTTTCATCACTCTTGTTTCCCTCGGTGTTCCCTGGCTGCAGCTCATTACTCACCTGTCCCTCATTTGCTAATCAGCCCAGCTGCATTCACTCATTAATCACCCCTTTCAGCATTTATAGTCCTTGTTATCTCCTAGTTGTCAGATCTTTAATGTCTTCACTCTTTAAATTTGTATTTGCTGGTTTTAGCTGCCACGTCTGTTTTGTTTGAAGGTTTCTGTTCAAATCAGTTCTTTGGCCGCTTGTGTTCACACAAACCCATCCAACAGTGTTCCTGTTTAAAACATCTTTCTAAGCATCTGATTAATCAGACGGTGCCACTTTGCAGAAGTAGTTTCTTGCACTTTTTAATAAACGTCTGTGAGCAAATATCGTTTTCAAAATGTTGTCTAGGAGGAATGACTTCCATGAAGCAAAGCAAACACTTTATTTGGATTTGCATTTTATCGTGAGAAGAAAATTGAAAGAAGGATATTCTGAGAAGATGTAGGCTTTTTAATCTGCACCCCAGCACGGGGCGAATCGAGACACATCAGACTTGACTTGAACTCGCACAAAAAAAAAAAGAGGAAAAAGTCAAATTGTAAGAGTCAAGAGACGAAACTAGAAATGCCAAGCAGTTGGGCTGGACTTGAATATATGCAAGCTATAAAATGTAAAAGGAGGAGAAAATGTGGAAAAAAGAGGTGAATAACAAACAATTATTTTGGTTTGTTGAACCAAGTTCATGTTCTTTAGCACAAATCGTCTTCAGCACAGTCCTGTGGGACGTTTCAGTACTACAGACTTGTTTTTGACGTGTTCTGCAGCAGCTCTCATTTATCAAATCTAACAAAGAAAAACACAGACAGTCCCTTTCTGAAGCTTTTTATGGTTTAAAAATCATCTTTAAGAATAAAATGCATTTTTGATTGAAGCACAAATTTCACAAACCGTCAAAAAGTCAAAGAACCGTGTTTTTTTTTTTTTTGTTTGTTTTTTAATTTGCAGCTTTTCATTTGAAACGTGAAGTTTAGGACTTCCCCACAGCTTCAGTTTAGGATCACAGAATTTAATCACATTTAATGACAATAAGCCTTTCTTCAAAATTATTTGGTTTCACAACTAACATTCAAAATATACAAAACTTTAAATACTAAAGTACATTATGTGTTTTGTTAACCAGCTGATAGCAACAGTTTTTAACACAGAAGTCATGTAGGATTGATAATAATAAAAATATATATATTAATATAGGCAGGTTACCATCAGAGGTCTAGATTTATTAAGGTCAGACTCTGAGACCGGGTCCAGGACTGTGATAGTCCTGCTCTGACTAGACTCCTTCTGCAGGTCTGTCCAAAACCATGTTTCGCTGCCTTCAGGACTCCTTCGCAAAAGGAGATCCGAGATCGCAGTTGGTTTTCCCCAGTTTAATAAAGGTTAATAAAATAAAAATAAATAAAAAGCTGAGTCAAAAAATACACGACTCCTTAACTTTTACCCATAAATAAGTATTTTGATTCAAGTTAAAACATTACGTGGACGCTTCTTACTTCTCAGAGTAGATGTTTTACATTTTAGTAATCATAAACTTGCTCTTAGTCGATGGAACCAGAAAGTGATTTCATAACAAACACAAAGTGTATTAATATTTTAAATAACATCCTGTTTGTTAGCGTGGACAGGACCGAACTGGGTCAGGACCAGCATGTGGGAACGCCGGTTCCCTTCGAGCTTCAACTTCCAGGTTTCCATCAAAGGTCTAGATTTATCAATGGACTGAATTTGAGACCTGGTCCAGGACTGTAATCGTTCTTCTGGTCTGAACGAACTCTTGTTGTTTTTCCTGCAGGTCTGAACATTTAGTTTTTCACATATCATACGTCAGAACCAAAGATCTCTACAGGAGCTGATCCGTCTGTCCTGACTGGTAGTTCCAAACAAAGAGTCCAGTTTATCCAACCACACCTTCCTTTTAACACTTTACAGAACCAAACGTACCATTGACCTGTTCCTTCTTTATCTTCAAATGTTTCAACCTCATCAACATGCAAACGAGTGAACAGCATGAAGCTCGTGAAGTTCTGGGACAGTTCTGACCATCGTCAAACCAAAAACTGAATTTTTTTGTTGTAGATTTTGTCAAATGTCCTGAACGAGACAAAGTGCGTGAAAAATCTTGGTGTCTTCGAGAATCTGTCTTGACGTTCAGACAGTTTGGATCAGTGGCCGTCCTGCTCTTTCTTCACCTCCTTCATTGAAGTTCTCCAAATGTTTATCTTCGTTAACGCAGATCTGCTCGTTAGCGGATACCCTAAAACCTCTTCCTCTTTCTGTGGTCTCTCAGGTCCAGATTTCATGATTTACGACAGCTGTTTCATGTCGTACATCGGCACCTCGGACTCCGCCGCATCATCCGCCGCCGCCGCAGCATGCGGGCTGCCTTTACGGCCTTTGGGAGGCGGGACAGGAACGGCCTCTGCAGCTCCCTCGGCTCCTTCCTGACCCTCCGCCACAGTCCTCTCCTTCTTCAGGTTCAGCTTTGCCGGGACGGTTTTGGTGAAGGTCTCCTTCAGCTTCTCTCCAGATTGACGGATCTTCTCGCGCCTCTCGGCCGTCACAATTCTCTCTCCAAACTTGTTGACCTTGGTGCCCAGGTTCTCGCGGGTCTTGGTCATGTTCTCCTTGGAGAAGGTGGCTTTGAAGCTCTCAATGCGGGTCAGCCCGGTCTTCTTCATCCGGCCGGCTGATGAGGAGTCTGCCTCCTCCACCACCACGTACTCCTCATCCGACTCTGGAGGGAAGTCGAACTTGTCCGGTTCCACCTCGGGTCTGGCTGTGGCTCCACCGCTGGACTCTGCTGGCTCATTTCCTGCTGCAACAGCTTTAACTTCCTGTTCGCCCTGAGGAAGAGCAAACAGATCTTAAACATCTAGATCCTTCCTCTGCATGAGCCTCTTTTGTTGCAACAAGTTAAATAACGATCAGGTTTGGACATGTGGTGCAGACCTGAATGGTTATAATGTGCAGGTCTTGATCCTGCCTCCATAAATAAACTGCAGCACCTGTTTCTGGAGCTCAGGGCTGGAAGCTAAACTTATCAGTGAGTAACGGCGTACCGAGCAGAGCCGCGTCACACCCTGCTTCAAGCCTCATCACCTGTCTGGGATCAGGTTACACAGAAATGTAGAGGACGAAGCGTCAAACTGACCCTGACTCATCAATACACAGCTGTTCCTCACTGGAAGCTCACGGCAGCAGAACAGTTTATGAAGTCAACAGAAAAACCTTCGGCTCGGTCGTCGCAGCCTCTGACCTCGAACTAAAAGTCTGTTTTGGTTCATCCGAGGAGAAACGAACCGCTAATACTGAGCTGAACCCGTTTAAAGATGTTCAGGAGCGTTGATCTGTCAAGAAAATCTGATCTAAGCAGACGGACTAAATTAACTTTTTATGGTCATAAATCTCCTGGGGATTTTCTGAAAACTCCTTCTCAAGACCCTCAACAACTAGCAGAATATCTGAATTAGGCCTGTCACCATAACTAATTTTTCTGGGCGATTAATTGTCTCAGAAATTATTGCGATAAACGATAATATTGTTTGACATTTGACAATAATTAGTAATTATTGTCAAATTTAAGAAGAAATGTTGGTTAATTTTGTGTGTAGTACCTTTTTTTGACCACTGGATGGCAGTACAAGACTGTTTGAACTGAAGGATGGATAGTAAGGGAGCGAGCAGTGTGTCTCTTTAAGAAAAATGGGAGGAAGGCCCCTTGACCTGACATGGGCTGTCTCTCCTTCCTGTTTTTCGGTTCTTAAAATGGCTGATTCTCTGTGTGGTTTGAGCTCTTTAGCATAGCATTTGTCACACAAAGCTTTTAATAAAAAAATCAGTAAACAAGTTCTCAGCTTCTTTTTGCAGAGAAAAATAACTTTTTACACGAAGGCACGGGTTTCAACCGTGAATTTTGGAGCTTCGACAAGACGGAGGGCTTTTTTCCCCTGAGGTCGGCCTGTTAGCTTAGCTCGTAGCTTAGCTGCTTTTAACGATCCGAAAACGCGATTTTGGACGGTTAAAATGGATTTTAAAGAGAAAGGGAGGGGTCAGTGAAGAGCACCGGAGTCAAACCTTTTGTCATCCAGTGTCTTCAGCAAAAAGAGAGAAACACAAAGAAACGATACATTTTAATTTATCGTGCGATTAATTGATTTATTGTTTATCGCAACAGGTCTAATCTGAATAAAAACTGATAAAATAAGAAAACTGATCCTACTTCCTGTTTATCTTCTGAGGACAATGATGGTTTTGGATCAGTTCTACATGTTGTAACCCTAACAGTTAAAGAACCAGTGGCAGCTTCATTACAGGCATGTTTGGCACTCGATGACACCTGATAGAAGCTGACATTTCCAGCTCTGACAGAATGCAGGACTGTAATAATAACCGAGTTAACAGGAGAGGGAGGTTAGCCAAAAACCTAAACCTCTGGATTGTATATGTTTTGATTTATTCTGCACAGAAACTCTGACGTAAAAGTTAATTAAACTACATTTTGTGACATTGTCTTAAAGCTGTTCCGTTTAGGCTAATCATGCAATCCTTCTGCAGAGGCAGCAACAAGACAGAAACTGAAAAAGGTCAAATGTCAACCTGAGAGACGTTCTTTACTGCCATTGAGAATGTTGACTAAATAAGTAGATTTGAGATTCTGGGATGTTTGCCATTCACCAACCGTGTGTGCAACTGTGGCAACCACCGATATCTCTGAGTGACCTTGAACCCATTTCATCATTTCTAGTCTGGATGCGTACACAGATATTTTTATTTACAACATAGGAAGTAGCCATGTTGCTCAAAGAATAAAACAACTGTAGCTGCAACCATCAGATGACTGTAGAATTATATATTCTGATGTTTTTGGTTGTACATCTACATTAAATCAACTTTATCAGCATGCTTTCAGTATGAATTCGAACAATGCTCAGCTAAGCTAGCCATGTCTTGACCCCAGTTTTGCTCCATCAACACAAAGAGTAACAGGTTTCCTCACTCCATGATCATTATGTACCTGGTTCTACAATAATCTAATCCAGTCCCAACCCTGGTCCTTGAGGAACACCATCGTTCATGTTTTAGTTGTTTCCCTGCTCCAACACACCTGATTCAGTGATTTAATTACTTCCTCATGTTCTGCAGAAGCCTGTTAATTACCTATTAATTCAAATCAGGGTGTGCTGGAGCAAACAACTAAAACATGCAGAATGGTGTTCCTCAAGGACCACTGTTGGGAACCCCTGAAATGTACAGCTTTAGAAACTAGGTATGAGCGGAAACAAGTGGTCTGACGTGACGTATCACAGGCCACAGCGCCACCGGACCTTGTTTCATTAATTAATCTCTGCGTGCCTCTGACTCGGAGTGTTTCCTCCATTAGACTAACTTGGCATCAAAGCAGGTAGCAGCAACTTAAGGAGCTGAGCTGACAGCTATATTAGGAGATGGAGGTTCAGCCTCAGAATAACTCTGAGCTCAGCTGCTTATATTACATCAGCTCTGAGAGCTCAAACCATGCTCTCACTGCTAGATTAGAGACATGAAAATGGAGTTTAATAATACTGTAAGTCTGGTGCACATCCATGGTCAGGTGTAAGTTCTTGTGTAATAAGCAGCTTGTTAGTAAATTAAATGTCTGCAGTGATTAAAGGCTTGTAAATTAAAGAATTGCGTTTGATTTAAAACTGAATCTAGCTGCAACTTGTGGGTCAAACCTAACAACTCATTGGAGCCTCTACAGGCCTGGCGAGGGCTGGAGTCTCTGCAAGGAGCAGAGATTTCATCCAATGTTTGATTTTTTGCATCAAACCAACAGATTAACACGTGAGCTTGCAGACCAAATGGTAATATGACACTAAACTCCAGTTTCCAACGACAGAATCACTCCTTGCAAACATATTACCGTTTTGATTTGACTTAAAGTAGGCGGTTTACACACTAACTTTAATAAATTCGTGTTGTTTCTGTGCGTTCGTTTGTAAAATCATGTTTCTGTGACGTATATTTTTCATTTTACCGAGCAATTTTGACTTTAAACAATCGTATTTCATCTATATGTCAATTAATTTTTTATTACACTTAAACAGAGGAGGAAAAAAAACCTGCAGCAGCTGAAACGTATCAACATTTGCAAGTAATAACTCAAGACAAGCTGCATTTTTTTTTTACTAAAATGGCAGCTTTCAAGATTAAATACCTTTTTTTTTTTTCATAAAAGTGCCAAAAATAATGCAAGAAAATCCGCACCATGACCTCAGGTGACCTCTCAGCGCGCTGACGTTTCTGCAGAGCTAAAATAACCAGGTCACCACCAGGCTGGCAGCTGTGGACTGTGAAGGCCAAAGAAGTAAAACGAAGCCTGGCGTGTGAGAACGCCTGTTGCTATTTCAACCCTCGAGACGAGCCGAGGCATTTGTTGACTGGCGTTTGTGGAAAAAGGAACTCCGATTTGGATCAACGGAGACATAAAAATGGAAACAAACGTTTTCTGTGTCGCCGTTAAACCAGAAGGAAGAGCTTGACTCAGTAAAGCTTTGGTTTTGATACAATTATCAGAAAACGATGTACGATTTTGCAACACTTTTATTTAAAAAAAACTCTTTTTTATAGATATGCACCATCTTTTTAAAATAAAAAAAATCATTAACTTCTATAAAGATGTTGTAAAAGAGTCGGTGGGAGATGAATTCACCCTGACGCCTGTTTTAGACCAGCTCCAACGCTTCAAATCATTTTTTGTACACGTCTGTCGAACATCAGCGCTAAAACCAGCAGCAACAAACTCGTATTTAGAACCAGTTACTGTATGTCGCCTACTTTAAGTTAAAGTTCAGAGGACAAGGCTTGGACATGTTTGGCCCCTGATTATGGGTTTGAAAATGGATCTCCTGATTCCTGGTAAGAAAAGTCAAAGTCTGGGGTCTTGAGTTGAATTTGAAGGAGTTATGGCTGCCTGTTCACATTGACGTATTCTTCCAAAACCTTAACGATAAAACATGCAGAAGTTCTAAAAAATTCAGAACTTGTTCGTGTTTGGAGGCTCACCTGGTAAATGACCACCCTGAACTTGTTCTTGGCGAGCAGGTCGCCCTGCGTGGCCTCCACCTTCTTCACCCGCACGTTCTGGTTCTCCACTCGGACCCTGACGTCCTTGATGTGGCGGCTGACCTTGCGGGTCTTCTCCAGCAGCCGCTCCACGGTGGAGCTGGTGTTGGCGTGGTCGTTGGTGAGCTTGACGACGTCGGCCTGGATGGTCTTGACCGTGCTCTCCAGCTCCAGCTGACGCTCCTCCATGCGCTGCTGGGTGGCCTGGACGCTGTCCATGAGGCCTGCCACGCGCTCCAGCAGGGCCATGATGCCGCCTGCATCATCCCCGCCTCCTGGTGGCATGCCCGGCTTATCTGTCATGCTTGCTGGTTGGCCTGCTGAGACGATGGTTTGAATCCAGAGATCCAAATAAAAGAGAAGAGACGAAGGAGCGTATGGAGGACGAGAACCTTCAGGTTCTGCAGCAGTGAGCTGTGAATGCTTTGGGTTTGGACGACGTGACGACCACCAGCTGAGGGTTCAAACTGTGGAGGAGAGAGAGCAGGAGAACCGGATCCCCTCTGCCCAACTGGAGGTTGACCCTGAAACGGTCCAGATCAAGTGATAGACTCCTCCCAGCTGGACGAGGGACTGGCAGGGATGACAAGAATAAAGAGAAAGGAGGGAGACATGGAGCGGCTAAAAAAACATGAGCTGAAGGAGCGCCGAGAGGATCAATGAGGTGTTCAGGTGTTCAATGAATGGGCTGCCGGTTCAGCTGAAGATTTTTAAACAACTCAAAGAAATCAAACAGCAATTATTCCTTTGAGATCCTGACCCTGCTGAAAAACTTTGGCTATGAAAGATCTTTAAAGTTGATTTTGGAGGAATGTTTGAAATAAAGGGCCACAGTGTTTCTCAGCAGCTAAAAATACAGTTGTGGTAAAATGAACCCCGTGCTTCTTTGGATATTAAAAGAACTGGAAACCCCCTCCCTCTCCGTCCATCTGTCATCTTTTCACTTGTTCTGTCCTAATCCCTGCCTCCAGGTTTAGACACGAGTTTGGCCCCAACAGGCCCACGAATGAAAGGGTAAGGTTTCACAAAGCATTCTTACAGCTTCGCCTCCATGGCTGCCATTTTTGTTACAGCCCAAACTTGGTCTAAAGGGGTGGAGCCTAAGATCTAAACTGAACCAAGCCTGAATCAAAGGAAATACACCTTATGGTGAGGTCATTGAAAGAGTTAACATTACAATAATACACAGTTTTAAATATATTGACAAATCTGTGTCATAAATATATTGACAAATCTGTGTCAGAAGAAAACAAATATGTTTCTGAGCCCAATAAAATATGACCAATTAAGACGTAAGAGGTGAAATCCATTAAAAGTGAACAAATAAATTTATGAATGCAATGAACAGTGGAGCTGAGATACAGGAAGTGATGGTTTTCAGAGATCAAATCCAGTTTTTTCTTCCAGTCTAGTGCCTAACACTCTTTATATGTCAATCCAAAAAAGTTTTTTCCAAGCTTGACGGTAATTTAAAAAGTTTCGACGACGGTTACGTCATTCAGTTTGGGTGCTTTTGCACGCTGCAGCTGCAAAAAATTTTAAAAAAAAAGTAAAATTCTGAATTAAGTCTACTGAACTCTGGACAGCAGACGTCTGATGGCCAGAAAAAAGGAGGATGAAGACGACAGCAGGTGCCAGGAGAGGACAGAGAGGAGGAGAGGTGGGAAAAGAGGGATGGGATCAGACACAAGGGGACTCCCCACCGTCTAAAACCTCCCCACCAGCTGCTGCCTATAATTATCCTGCTATGAACGCCATGTTTAACCCAACCTTCATGTGGAGGGTTTATGAAGGGCCGGATTGTCACTCCTCTTTAAACTGGTCGTTTCTGCAGCTGAAAACAGACAGAAGGCAGAATCATGAAGGAAAAGGGTGATTTCTGTTTTTTAAACTGCTGGAGAAACTGATGTCCAACATTCCTGACAGTCAGGGGGAAAGAAACCCCACTTTTTTATTGTACTCTGTTAATTACACAAGAGGATTAGAGCCACGGCGCAATAATTTTTCCCCCTTAATTCCCAGGAGAAAAAAAAAATCTGAATTTTGAGATTAAAGTCAAAATTTGTCATAATTCTGAAAAAAGTAAGAATTATGTTTTTTTTTTAAGTCAGAATTTTAAGAAAAAAAGTCAGAATAATCTCAGAATTCTAACTTTTTTTCCCCTCAGAATTCTGATTTTAATCACATAATTCTGACTTTTTTCTCTGAATTCTTACTTGTTCCAAAAGTTAACAAAGTCTGACTTTAATCTCAGAATTCTGACTTTTTTCTCGGAATTAACTTTAATCTCAGTATTCTGATTTATTTTTTTTTCCCCTCTGAATTATGACTTTTGTTTTCTTAAAATTTTGACTTTTTTTAACAGAATATATTGTTTTCAGAATTCTGCTGTAATGAGACAGCCAAGAGATGGATTTAGCTCAGGGGTGCTCTCTTACATTTTATAATATATGGACTAATTCAAGTACATAATATTATACTCAATTTAAACGGATTCTTTCATTCCTGTTCGCCCTGAGGAAGGGAAGAAGCAGGTGCCAGTAGCTTCTTATTTACCGTCTGCTAGGTTTAAAAACAATCCACTTCGTTCTAATAACTTCTTTCTGACTTTCGACCGACATCACTACTTCTCATTTCAGAAAGAAGATCAAAATGCATAATTACTTTGTAACAGACATCTAACTTGATTTCTACTTTGAATGAGGATTAAAAATCATTAATACTGTTTCACAGTTGATTTAAAATGAGTGGTTCACTTCAACATTTAAAATGGTTTGAACACACTTTTGATTATCAAGACATTGTAAAAATAGTAATGATAACATAAAAAAGAGAGTGTTCTTTCAATTGATTAGTTCAGGATACAATTAGAAAGTCTCTGGATGAGCTAATTTGTATTTCTGGATTCAAATCAATGAAATAACAGTTCCTGTCCCATGAAGGTCCTCAGAGGCAGGTTTTGACCCGAGGCCGAGTTCACTACACTGCCAAATTCTGACTTTAATCTCAGAATTCTGACTTTAATCTCAGAATTAATGGGGGGAAAGATTTTGCACCGTGGCCCTAATTCATAATTAATGCTCATTGTTCCCGGCCACATTTGACTTTTGTCAGTCCGGGGCTTGATCCTATCAGGTTCACCATCTCTAGTCTTTATAAAAAAAACTCAGGACATAATAAAACTGATCTGGTCATGATCGAGTTCTAAAATGATCCAAATTAAACCTCAAGTGAACAAAACCTGGAACCATCAGCTTGTAGAAGCTCCTTCAGCAGCATAACCCTCAGTGGTTTTCTGGTTGTCTCTCTCGTGGTTGTGAAGGAGTTCTGGTCCACTCTTCTTTCCATTGTTGCTTCAGTTCAGCTCTCTGAAGGTCCCATCACAGCGTTCAGTCAGACTGAGGTTCTGGACTCTGATTGTTTAGAGTATGTGTTTGGGATCATTTTCCTGATGGACCCAATTTGGTCCAAGCTTCATCTGTGGGACAGATGGACTCACATTTAGATCCAGAAACCTTTGCTGACTACACAGAGCCCGAACCATCAGCCCTCCACTGCCGTGCTGACAACTGGGAGGAGCTGTTTGCTGTGGTGCATTCTGGGTAAACCTCTCTCCTTTGGTCTGGTTCTCGTCCAGAAGTCTTGTAGTTCCTTCAGATGATGAAACTTTAAAATCTAAGTCGAGCTGCCAAGTTGTTTTTTGAGATGAGGTCACGATGACCTTTGACCTGCTGACTGAGGCCTGTAGAGTCTGAGACAGGTGGTTTGGACTTTTGGACCTGCAGCTGCTTCAATCAGAACCGAATTGAATTAAAATCGATCAAACGAAGACGGCGTGGTTCAAACATCATAATTTAATTGAGCTACAGCACAGTCTAACAGCTTCACTGGTTCATGCAGGACGAACATCTACAGTAAAACCAGGCTGGGTTCCTGCAGGAGCCACAGCACCGGGACCAGAACAAGTCCGATCTCATAGCAGCGACACGTGAAGGAACCGTGGTCCCGTCTACAACAACAACACGATAAGACACGTCGTACCGTCGATACAGCTCAGATTCAAAAAGACAAAGGACTGAACTCGTCCAAACACGTAGAAACACGTCGGCGTCCGCGACCGGACCGTGAAAATTAATCCGTAAAACAAATATAACAACAACCTGTACACGTCGGCTCGTACCTCATCGCTTAAGTAGAAAAAACAGCATTTTGGTTCTCAGGTGCATCTCATCGTAACAAATACAAAACAAACCAATAATATCTTATTCCTGGTCCTGTGAGACTCAGAGGAACATCGAGTGTGGATTTCAAAACTCTGCAGAGCTTCAGTGGTCCCTGATAATCCCGAGTCCCCCTGCAGGTTTAAGGCCTTACAACTGTGACAAAAAAACTGAGAAGTTGGGCCAAATGTGAGCAGCAGGGCATTATGGGAAATATCTGTTTGACTCTTAATTCGTAGCTGCAATCTACAGAAAATCAAACAAAGATTTACTTTTTTTTTTGTCACAAAATGTTCCAAAAACAAATAAATACAACAAAATGCATTTTTAATCCCAGAAAGTAACATTTAAATCGTTTAAACCTTTTCAGCCTTGAACTTTGTCTGTAAAAACAGTTTTACTGATAAACACTTGAACTGGTAAAACTCTTTTGTCGTTAATCTGACGACAGGAGCTCAGATTAGAAGTGAAAGTGACTCAGCTGCCGTCAGTTATTAAGTCTTTCATGTGAATCAAACTGAAGGTTGAAGGAAGAAGCTTTAGAATTTTAGTTTTCTCTACAATGTAAACAAAACATTACGAATTAAAAAGCGTCAAAATAATTTGCCAGATTTGATCCTTTGATCTTTTGAGGTTTTTTTTTATCTTATTTTATTTAAAAGTCTGTTGTTAAAAGGCTTAAAACTTTCAAAACCACCATTTAACTCTGATTAATCAGCTCGTCAATTAAATAATTAACCATAAAATCAGCTGATAAGTTCAGCAGCCAACTAATTATTAAAGCAATAATTTATTCATCCAGCCTTATGTCATCCAACTTATTAATCAAATAATTATTTAATAAACTAAACAAGTTCCTGCTGACCAATTAGCAAACTAATTAATTACCTAACAATCTTAATTAATTAGTTAGTAATTCATCTAATAATTTACCTAATCAAACAATCAATTAATCAGACAACTAATTAATTACATAATACTCTTAATTAATTAATTAGTAAGTAATTGATATAGGCAGCACGGTGGCGCAACTGGTAGAGCTGCTGCCTCTCAGCGAGCAGGTCCCTGGTTCAAACCCCGGTCCAGGGGCCTTTCTGGGTGGAGTTTGCATGTTCTTTCCGTGCATGCGTGGGTTTTCTCCGGGTGCTCCGGTTTCCTCCCACAGTCCAAAAACATGCATGTTAGGCTGATTGGTAACTCTAAAATTGTCCCTAGGTGCGAGTGAGAGAGTGAATGTTTGTTTGTCTCGTTTGTCTCGTTTGTCTCTATGTGTCCCTGTGATGGACTTGCGACCCGTCCAGGGTGTACCCCGCCCCTCGCACAGTGATTGCTGGACATGGGCACCAGCGACCCCCGTGACCCAAAATGGAATAAGCGGGTAAAGAAAATGGATGGATGGATGGGTAATTGATATAATAATTCACCTAATTAAACAATCAATTAATCAGCCAACTAATTAATTACATAATAATCGTAATTAATTAGTTAGTAATTAATCTAATCATTTACCTAATCAAACAATCATTTAATCAGCCAACTAATTAATTACATAATAATCTTAAGTAATTAGTTAGTAATTAATCTAATAATTTACCTAATTAAAAAATCAATTAATCAGCCAACTAATTAATTATCTAATCATCTCAATTAATTAGTTAATAATTAATCATTTAACTAATCAAACATTCAATTAATCAGCCAACTAAATAATTACCTAATAATCTTAATTACTTAGTAATTAATTAATCTAATTAATTACCTAATCAAACAACCGATTAAGCAGCCAACTAATTAAAGAGTATTTAGAGCAGGGCTATTCAACTGACGGCCCAGGGGCCGATTCAGGCCCACAGATGAACACAGTTCGGCCCACCAATAGGTTCATTTGAAGTAAAACTAGATTTTAAACCATAAAATAAATTTACTTATTGACAATAACTCTGGATGTTCAGCCCCTGAGCAATTTTAGTTGAATAGCCCTGATTTGGTGTCAGCCCGATCGATTGATTGATTACAGTCTAATTATTAAACCAGCCAAATAAATCAGCTGTCTGGTTGAAGAACTAATCATCTGGTCTGCTGTCGTTATGAACAATCCCGTCTTGAATTTAGTCGATCGCCTCGGATTATAAAGAACGAGTCTCGGTCAAAGGAAAACTAATTTTGGTCGACGAGAACGAGCCGAAGCTGCAAACTGTGAGTTCATCCCCCAAACATGTGGGTAAGTTCAGTCTGAGCAGAAACAAACAAAATCTGTGCAGAGACGGAGCATCCCTGGAAAAAAAAAACAGAAGCAGCTGAAACTAAAGCCTCGAATAAATTCAGCTTTTAAATGACGAGTCAAAACTGTTTTTACAGGCAGAAATACAAGTTGGTAACATTTTAAACTCCCTCATCTGAGATTTCCCTCCTCGGCGTTTGCTCTAACTTGATGCCGCACGACGTCTGAAACACGATTCTGGAGGAAAACCAAAGAAACTCGAAAAAATCTGAGTCTGTGTTCGTCTCTCAGGGTGAGGACGGAGACGTGCGAGTCCAGCTGTGGACGGTGCAAAGACATGATACAATCAGATAAATAAAGGTTCTGCTTCCTGTTGGATCCACAGTGTTCGGAGTCGGAGAGGACGGCAGCAGGTCCACAAAAACAAAACAGAACCTGAGGGGCGTGTGAAAATAAGGCCTCTTTAAGTAACAAATGATACATTTAGAAAAAGGGAGAAATAATAAAGAGGCACCAAACTTGGATTATAAAACTGCAGTCTGTCTGCGGTACCAAAACTGAGACGGTTCTATAAAAACACCATGAGGACGGAGGACTACATCATCCGAGACGATGTCCCCGACGGGAAGTGTCCCAGGTGCTGCTTCTGCCTGCGGCCACGCTTCGACTTGTTGCACCTCCTGCGGGGGGGACAAGGACGGGACAGCGAGGAGGAGACATCAACATGGAGACATTATTATCATCACATGGACTCATAAAACAAGAGACAGTTTTTAAACTGATCAATACTCTAGGCTTGTCACGATAACAAATGTTGCTGGGCGATTAATTGTCTCAGAAATTATTGCGATAAACGATAATATTGTTTGAAATTCAACAACAATTAGAAATTATTGTCAAATTTAAGAAGAAATGTTGGTTAATTTGTTTTGCATGTAGTATCTGTTTTTGACCACTGCATGGCAGTATAAGACTGTTTGAACCGAAGGATGGATAGTGAGGGAGTGAGCAGCGTGTCTCTTTAAGAAAAATGGGAGGGAGGCCTCTTGACGTGACATGGGCTGTCTCTCTTCGGTTCTCAAAATGGTGGACGCTCAGTGTGGTTTGAGCTCTTTAGCATAGCATTAATAATTATTTAATTAAAAATCAGTAAACAAGTTCTCAGTTTCTTTTTGCAGAGAAAAAAAAACACTTTTTACACGAAGGCACGGGGAATTTTGGAGCTTCGACAAGACGGAGGCTTTTTCCCCGAGGTCAGACCGTTAGCTTAGCTCGTAGCTTAGCTTTTCAGTTTAGCTGCTTTTAACGATCCAAAAACGCGATTTTTGGATCGTTAAAATGGATTTTAAAGTAACCTGTATAAATAGACTGAATGGAAAAGAAGATCAGAGAAAGGGAGGGGTCAGTGAAGCGCACTGGAGTTGAGCTTTTTGTCATCCAGTGTCTTCAGTAGAAAGAGAGAGACACGAAGAAACAATAAAGCCGATAAATGAAAATCAGGTTGATAATTTTCATTTATCATGCAATTAATGGATTTATTGTTTATTGCGACAGGCCTAATCAATACATAAAAAGCAGCATTTGAAAATAAAAATTGAACAAATTATTTGCATTAATAATGTTTAAATAAGGAACCTAAAGGCCTGGACTGTTCAGAGGTCTTTACTCACTCTGATTTTAAAAATCTGAACATTTTTTATTGCTCAGGATCAATAAACCTTCATTATTTAAGCAGATTGTCTGAGTCTGAGTCCTCCCCCTGCAGGCTAACAGGCGTCACTGCAGCTCCTGGTTCATAAACCAGACTCTGCTGCCCCCTGCTGGTCGCTGACCCTCCCTGCACCCTGTCACGTGGTGAACCTGCAGCAGGTGAGAGTACCTGGTGAAGCACATCACCACGGCGACGATGACGGCGATCTGAACCGCTCCGATGATGGCGGCGATGAGAACGTAGTGCAGCTTCTGACCGCTGGGGACCACGTAGAGGATGTTAAAGTCCAGGAGCTGGTCACACTGAGGGCCGCCGTACGCAGCCTCGCACCTGTCACATGAACACGGGTCAGTCACCATAGTTATGCCTTTTCAGGGTCAGGTTTAATGTCTGAATCAGGTCAGATCTGGTCTGTTCTGGGTCATGCGGTCCTACCTGCACGTGGGCAGTTTGTGTCTCAGCTCACACTGTCCGTGTTCACAGAACTCCGCGTAGTCCTCGGGACAGGGTTCAGGGTCCTCCACAGACCCGTCCCCCTCGTCAGGCTTCGACACGGCTGCAGAGAAAACAAGAGAATAAGAAAATCCTGGTTTCTGATTGGCTGTTGTCATGACAGCACTGAATATCCCGTCAGACACCGTCTCACCATAGATGTCCGGTTTGGACTTGGAGCCGTCGTCCTTCCTGGTTTTATCTGAAACACAAAAAGTTTTTCTGTAAATTTAAACTGGGTTCAGGATCTCACACCTGGTTTCAGATCTGTAACCTTGAGGGCTCATGGGTGTTTCGGCGAGTCCTGAGTGGTTACCTTGGCAACGGCCCACGTGTTTGATGTCGATCTTCAGCTGTTTGTGGCAGGACGCCTCGCGGACGTGGCACGGCGTGTCGTAGGTGACGCCGTCGCTGCCGCACACCGGGTTGTCGTTGTGTCCATTACACAGGATGTTACACATGCAGCTGCACACAGGAACAACACACAGGCTTTTATTTTGAAGGATGATGATATTCATTTGATTTACAGAGTCAGCATTTCCTGATTCTATTTATTAATTTCTTGTATATTTTCATAAATCCAACTCCTACAGACAATGGGCTATTTTAGCCGTTCATATATCAAAACATGCAGCTCATTTTTCATTCATCCTTTATTTAGACAGGTTAATCCCTCATTTAGGAGACATTAGGAGACAATATTTATACTCTTATTATTATTACATTTAACTTTTGAAAAAATATATTTTCCTTATAGAAATACATGGAGCTCACCTTAATTCCTTTTAAAACATTCTCTTTAAATCTGCTTCAGCTACTGGTACCACTTTTGGCTTTTAATTCTACTGTTTTGGCTGTTTGAAAGCATTTAGCTACTTTTAGCTTTTAGCTAATATTTTGCTACTTCTACATTTTTAGCAAATGTTTTTCTACTTTTAACCTTGTGTGTGTGTGTGTGTGTGTGTGTGTGTGTGTGCGTGCGTGTGTGTGTGCGTGCGTGTGTGTGTGTGTGCGTGTGTGTGTTTGTTCTCTTACAGCAGGTCCTCAGAGTCTTCGTCACATTCGGCTCCAAACCTGCAGTTCCTACATTTGGAGACCTTCTTTCCTCGACCGGAGCCTTCATCATCTGTGAACACAGAAACCTTCAGAGCTCCTCTTCCTCCTCGGCTGTCACACAACATTTGTTTCATCGTGTTGTTTCTAACAAACATGTGAGATTTAAAACAAAGTGTTTACCTCCGTCTCCGGATCCAGAACCCCCGTCTGTCAGACACAAAGACACACTGACGTTAGCTGATGACACATTTTTATTTCTCAGTTTTGACAAACTTTTAGGATCACAAAGATTCTGTTTTTGTTTTCCGGTTTTAAAATAAACTCATGGTGTTGAGAATAAAGTCAAAATATTATTTAAAGAATCAAGTGAAGCCCGAGGGAGCAGGAACCTGATGGTATTTGGTGACGGTTGTTAGAAAAGCACAGGAAGTACACTGATGCTTCTCGACGGCAGGACCCACTGAACTTTAACGCAGTCCAAATGGAAGAGTGGACCCACATAAAACATGTTAAAACAAGTGGCTGAAAGCTCTGTGCTATTTGTTTTACTGGTATTTCAAGTTACCATGGCAACCTAATTCAGCAAAGACAACCCCCCCAAAATAAACGGATTGTATGGAGAATTCTTCACATTCTAATAAAACTGTTCTTTAAAATATCTCTCGAACCTCTGGGTGTAAAATTACTGAAACGCTCTCAAAGTCACCTTTAGAGGTTCTTCTATACCTGATTAGTTATTTGGATCAAATCAGTCCTAAATGGCCACCACACCTAATACAAAATGCCTGCAAGTCATTCAGTTATAGAGATACTGAGCTACAGACTGATGTGGTAGTAGATGACGGTGATCTCCAACACAAACTTAGAAAGCTAACGGCTAAATGCAACTTTGAAATGTATTCTGATGCATGCTCAATATCCTGATGCATGCTCAATGTATTGAAATGTATTGTTATTACTATTGGTAAAACTTAAAAAGGTTAAATATTTGAGAAGTTATTTACAGTTTCTGTACCTATTATGACATTTACGGTAGTTTTCGTGCTAAAACAAAGAAATTCCTTCTTTGTAAAATCTTTATAAAAGTACGACCTCATCAGTTCATGCACACGATGATAGGTCTTTACACGGATGCTGGTTTAGTTTTAACTTCAGTATTCAGAGGATTAGGAGATTATGTGAAAACAGACGAGTTTTATTTTTGCTCGTCCGTTGTGGCAGCACGTGGTCAGCTGCAAGATGTTAACACGTTTACTGCTTTGGACCAGAGATGTGCGATGCTGCCACCTAGTGGGCTCAGATGTAACTGCAGCGTTTTGTTTCTTTGAAGTTCTCAAGTTTATATCCATCCATCCATTATCTTTACCCGCTTCTTCCTTTTTGGGTCACGGGTGCCCATGTTCAGCCATCACTGTGCAAGAGACAGGGGACACCCTGGACAGGCCTCCAGTCCATCATAGGGACACATAAAGACAAATGAGACAAACAACCATTCACTGTCTCACTCACACCTATGGACAATTTAGAGTTACCAGTCAGACTAACATGCATGTTTATGGTCTATGGGGGGGAACCGGTACCCATAGAAAATCCACGCATGCATGGAGAGAACAAGCAAACTCCACCCGGAAAGGTCGCCCAACCGGGATTTGATCTGGCGACCTTCAGCCACACCTACAACCAGCCAGTCAAACCAGGAAGTATCCTGATGCATGAGATCCAACCTCCATCAGGACCCATGAATATTTGAAGGACGGAGTGATTTCATGAACACAGCCTGTTGCTAAACGTGAGTGCGTTACCATGGTAACAGGCTCTCTCCGACACAATGCTGATGGCCCTCTGCTTCTTGCAGGCGGCTCTCCTCAGGAAGCACTCGTTCTGGTACGTGTCTCCGTTGGAGCCGCAGACGGGGACGTACTTCGTACTGCACTGAAACGGGACAAACACAAACAAAGCTTTAATCTTTAATCAGGAATGACTTCAGAACTGAATCTGGATCAGTTTGGGGCCTCGGTAAGGGGCCGGGTTTACGAGACTTACGCGGAACTGACAGACGCACTTGATGTTGTCAACGTTCTCACGGCACGTTCCTCCGAAACGACACGTCCCGGCTTCACAAACACGCAGGTCGCTCTTCTTGTCCGACAGGTCTGAAAACAAACAAACGTGTTTATAATCGACGATCACAGGAGTTCCAAGTCTTTTAACCAGACTATAAAATCCATCCATTATCTGTCATTTAAGGGAATCCCAGTTTCAGGAGTAAACTGGACCACCAGGATCTCTGATCTCTCAGACGGCTAATAGAACCACATGGAACCATAGAACGACATCAATATCTGACTGAGCCACATGGACCAGGGTTTACTTTGAGAAACCTTTGTGAGGTTCTACAGTCTAGAGTTACATTAACAAACATCACTGAAGTTGATCCGGTCCAGAGGCAGCACGAACATCTCTGGGCTCCATTTGGATCAGACCATCACAGTAGAAAACCTGGATGAGACAAATCAGGATTCTAGATTTTTATTGGAAGAAATGGACCGAAGAGGAAAAAGGCATCAGCTCTTGATGACAGCTGAAAGTCCAGAAGCCCGATTCTGGATGGCTGGATGAACCGAGAGGCTTCCGTCCGAGAGAGAAGATCCAGGTCCAAATGTTAAAGCACATGAACGAAGAAAATCCTTCTGAAGGAACGTTTGATGGTCAAATCGACTGGACTGATCACAAAAACCAGAAACACCAACAACTGTGTACCCAATGTTAGGCATGGAGGTGGTAGCATCATGCTATGGGGCTGTTAGGCTGCACAACAGTCCAGTTCTGGGCTTAGACCAGGGTTTTAACAATGTAAAACCACATTCTGCTCACAATGCAAAGGCCGACGAAAACGAGGGAACGCGTTCAAGACTGAATCTGGAACTGGTTTTACTGGAACAGATGGACTTGAACATAAACAGCAGTTTCAGTGGTGCTGCAGATAAAATCCTTGGTCCAGCAGCTGTGAACACTCAAACACATGCTACGCTATCCCAGCTTGTAATTTCATGGTAGCAGCTGATTGGTCGCTGGCACACAGGCCGACCAATCAGAGGCTGTAATTACAGGAGCCCTGAGCTCAGCCTTCCCTGTAATTAGCAAATACCTCAGAGCACTGGGGCAGCCGCATCCACCTGCTACACACACACACACACACACACACACACACATACACACGTGTGCGTGGGTGGAAACAACAACAGAAACTGTGTTTTCAGGGATTTTTCTCTCCTGCCATGGATCTGATTCCAGTTTTTCTCCTGAATCCAGCAGGAAACTGAAGAACGAGTATTTACCCACAAACCTTAAGGCTTTTCAGGGATCTATAACTACTTCCACTTATTGCTTTTAATATGTTATTTATCTGTTCTACTAAATCTTTTTGCCTGTAGCACGTGAAAACTTCTAATAACATAAAAAGCAACACATGATCGTTACATTTTTCACCAAAGGATCGTCTTGGTGCAATGCATTCTGGGGTAATGACATACATCGGTTGTAGTGGAGACAAAAACACAAGGAGTCAAGGATAAAAAGTTACAACATGTGACAATAAATTAATTTTTTTGTATTAGTCCTTATGCACAATATAAAGCTTGAAAAGATCCAACCTGATTGACTTGTGGTGTTTAATTTGTTAGCTCTGTAGCTAACCCCATATACAGTATATTACGTAGTTCTGGAACTAACGCTGTTAGCTCCGGGGCTAATGTTGTACATCGGTATATTAGCTTTGGAGCTAAACGAAAGTGGAGTCATATCTCCATTCTCCTCTCTGTCGAAGCTCTCCGGTTCAAATTAAAGAGCTAAACATCAGATAATGTCCAAAATTAACATTTAAGCTAAATGGAGCTCGCACTGGAGCAACATGACTACATAATTTTCCCAGAATGCATTCTGTGTGTCAATAATGTTTAAAAAAGTATGAAAACTAAACCGCCTACGGTTTTTTTACAATCTCTTTGCTATAGCTGAAGTAATTCCTTATCAAAAAAGGCTTATTGTTCCAAGTCAGAGATCCCTTTAACAAAACCCTCAACATTTTAACCGTTACATGAAAATAAAACTCTCCTGTTTGCTTAATTTCACCTGGAGGACCCTAGATCTGGAGGAATACACATACTCAGTCCTGGGGTACATTAGCAAATGTGCTGATGACGTCTCCACCATCAGATATGTTCAGAGCTACCCGAACAGAAAGCCTTTGCTGAATGCAGAGGTTTGCACCCTGCTGGAAACCAGGAACACTGCCTTCAGATGTGGAAACTCACAGGAGATGAGAAGGACAAGGAAAGAGCTGGTTGCTGGTATTAAGACGACCAAGGCCACATATGCACAGAGGATCCAGGGTCAATTAACCTCACAAGACCCACGGAGCATGTAGAGGGGCATTAAGTGCATAACAGATTATAAAGGCAAAAGTGAACAATGCCCTAGAGACCCATCTCTGCCTGATGCCCTCAACAAGTTCTACAAACGCTTTGAAGTCGTGAACAGACCACCCAGCACCAGACTCACCTCACCACCAGAAGAAGAGTTTCTCAGCGTGACCTCAGCAGCAGTAAGGAGTATTTTCAGGAGGATTAATCCTCGCAAGGCAACCGGCCCAGACAACATCCCCGGGAAGTTGCTGAAAGAATGTGCCAATCAGCTCTGCGAGGTGCTGGCTGACATCTTTAACTCCTCCCTCACCCTGGCAACAGTTCCCACCTGCCTGAAGACTGCAACCATCATCCCAGTCCCAAAGAGCTCTACAGTGACTGGTCTGAATGACTACCAGCCAGTGGCCCTCACCCCGATAGTCACTAAATGCTTCGAAAAACCGGTCATGACCCACATCAAAACAACCATCAACATCAATGAGGACACCAGTACGTACACCGCGAGAACCGATCAACAGAAGACACCATCTCCTCTATGGTCCACACTGCTCTCACCCACCTGGAGCAGCACTCCTACGTCTCGTATGCTCTTTGTGGACTTCACGTCTGCCTTCAACACCATGATCCCCAAAACCATGATGGACAAACTAGTCACACTAGGACTAAGCCCCTCCATTTGCAACTGGGTCCTAGACTTCTTAACAAACAGACCACAGTCAATGAGGATCCACAACTTCTCCTCCTCCACCATAACCCTCAGCACTGGTTCCCCTCAGGGATGTGTGCTGAGCCCTCTCCTGTTCACTCTGCTCACCTATGATTGTGCACCTACCCATCCAGGCTGTCATATTGTAAAGTTTGCAGATGATACAGTGGTGGTGGGATGCATCACAAACAATGATGAGTCCAGCTACAGGCAGGAGGTGGAACACCTGGAGAGCTGGTGCAAGAAGAATAACCTTCACATGAATGTGAAGAAGACGAAGGAGATGGTCGTGGACTTCAGATGGAAAAAACACAGCTACACCCCCGCCCCCCAACACACACACACACAGAACATATGAGGATTTGCAGTGGAAGTGGTCTCCAGCCACAAGTACTTGGGTGTGCACCTGAACGACAACCTCAGCTGGTGCAACAACACTTCCAGCCTGATCAAGAAAGCTCATCAGAGACTCTACTTCCTTAGGCGGCTGAGTCGAGCTGGTCTGGGAAGCTCAGTCCTCATCTCCTTCTACAGGTGTGCAGTGGAGAGCATCCTGTGCTCCAGCATCAACGTGTAGCATGGAGGCTGCACAGCTGCAGAAAGAAAAGCTTTGCAGAGAGTGGTGAAGGCTGCACAGAAGATGTTGGAGTCAGCCTCCCCACCATCACAGACATCTACACCTCTAGATGCAGGAAGAGGGCCACCTGCATCATGAAGGACCACACTCACCCAGCACACACTTTTTGCCCCACTCCCCTCAGCTCCCCTTCATGCTGCTGTGTTCATTCAAACTCATCTGCTCACACAGACTCATGCTTGTGCTGCTGCTACTAGTGCTTAGTGTGTTTTTATTAATGTTTTTCTTAGTTCATATCTTAGATCTTATTAGTTTTTCTTTTACATTTTAATACTTTTGTTGGATGTAACTGGGACCATGTGTACACAATTTCGTTCCACCACATGTGGTGCGAATGACAAATGAAGACACCCTGAATCCTTCACAAAGTTTCAAGGCAACAGGAATGATAAAATATCACGAAGAGCCAATAACAACCTGCCAATATTTTCATATTTCCCCCTGGAGAGTTTCAAACGACTCCCCGAAGCCCTCGCAGGTCCAACAAAGCCATCCGGTTGCTATGGTTGGTTACTGCCGCCTCAGCAGAGTGTTGACAGAGTCAGGCCCGAGAGACCCGAGACTCCGGCAGAGGAGCTTCAGTCCTGCAGTTCTGAGAGCCGAGGAAGCTTCAGATCTGAAGTGACAGCTCTGATTTCAGAACCGTAGAGCAAGAACCAACTGAAGTTGCTGCTTCTGCACCGAGCTAAACTCAAATTAGGAGTACCAGTAAACATAAACAATACGTTTTTATAAGTTATTGTTTAATTATTTTGTGACTGTAGAAAAATAGATCAACATATGTGAGCAAAATGTGAAGGTTTTGAGTGTTTAGATCGCAGGACAGAGGTATGCTAACAGTTTCCCTTTGTAATATACTCGTCAGTTTGAGCTTCTTTCGGCTGTTCCTCGACATGTTTTCAGCTATTTCAGTCATTTAGCTATCAAAATGTTCAGCTCATTCATAACATTATGGCTCTGACTTCTGTTTTTTTGTAACTTTGATCCTTTTTAATTTAACTTTTTTTAAATGTTTTTCTCATTGAATTCCCTGAAATAGTTTTTATAAAACTTTGACAAACTTTGTGCTCTTTGAAATCTACAACCGGTAATTCATTTTTAGCTTTTGTCTGCCGTTTTGCTCATCTTAACTTTTTAGAAACGGTTTTGCTGATTTAAGCTTTTAGCAAATGCTTTCTTAATTTTAGATTTCAGTTACTTTTTGCTAACTTTAGCTTTTGTGTAACACTTTGCCAATTTTAACTTTCATCTACTGTTTTGCTGGGATTAGCGTTTCACTACAAATATTGGCTTTCGCCTACTTCTTTGCTTACTTAAGCTTTTATCTTACATTTTGATAATTTAAGATTTTGGCTATTGTTTTGTTGGGTTTTGCTTTCAGCTCTTTTGTTAGTTTTAACTTTTTTAGTCGGCTAATTTAGCTTTAAGTTACTTTTTGCTGGGGTTAATGTTTAGCTAATGCTTAGCTCTATTTAGCTTCCAGCTTCTTTTTGCCAGCTTTGGCTGTTTTCTAACATTTGGCTAACTTCAGCATTTAACTACTACCGGTATTTTGCTGGGTATTTATTAATTTTTATTTTATTTTTTATTTTTTTTGCTTTTGTTTTTAATGTTTTAACTTTAGCTTAAAGTGTCTGTTTTCAGCTAAAAAAGCTATATTTTTTCATAAACCGCTAAAATGTGGTGCAGCAAACCTCCCACATCTATAAAGAACCACATTTTTCAACCGTGTTTCCAACAAAGCAGCTTTTAAAAAAACAAAGTTTTGTTTAATTTGGAGCTAAAACTGTGAGCCGAACGTTAGAAATCCTTTTTTCTTCGGCAGGTTTTCAGTTGCTGAGGGTTCAGGGAAACAGGAAGTGACTTTTCAGCTCGGCTGATCTCAGGTCAGTCAGAACCAAACCAGGTCAGCCTGAAACTGAAGTGCAGCTCAGAGGTTCAGCCAAGCGTCGACTGATCATTGCTCCTCTCCTCCTCCTCTTTTCATCACCATCTTCCTCAGACATTCAAAGGAGCAAAAAGTCCTGACTCTGGTTTCAGCAGAACCTTCAGCAGACTAGAGTCATTATTGTGACAGTTATTTTCTCTCAGCTTTCTCTTACTAAAAACCAACACTAGTCGAAATCTCACCCACAATAAATCCTCACTGCTCTCGTTTCTCGGCGCCTGGATGAAAACTAAAAAACTCACTGACCACCAAGGACAGAAACTGGTGCAAAGTGGAGCATCTTCCCAGAGGAGAACATCTGCGATGGAGCTGAAGTGTAAAAATAGGAAATTAAAAACGTCTTCAGATCCTCAGAAAGTGACGGAGCGCAGTTATTTCTGCCTCCACATTTAGATCAGAGGCGTGGAGCTCGTCTGTAGTTACAGCTCGCCGGACGACCCAACCCGACCAGAACCAGCTGCAGTAAATCTAAAATAACTTCACAGAGTTTGGCTCTTTTTTAAAGCGGCTGCAGCTTCTGTTCTGCAGCTGGGAGGAGGCGATTTGTTTATTTTCAGCAGCCGACTGTACCAATGGGAGCAGAACTGATGGGTCCCGGATCGGACGCAGAACCAGCACTGAGATCTGGACCACATCTGTCCAGCTGTGACCCGTCTCACAACAACACACAAGCCGTTCAACTCAAGACTTTTCTTAAAAGCAGAACTTTTAAAATGTTCCAACTAAGAGTTTTCCGCTCCGTTTCAGATGACGGATCCAAAAACCAGCTGACAACCCAAAAAACATCAGACTACAAGTTTTATTTTTATTACAAAATGAACACTTACTTTTATGATCTGTTTTCTTGGTTTGGATTGATGGATTTCACTGGCTTTGTAAAGTCAGACAGATTGTAACTCTTTGTCTTTTTAGCTCCTAAATGAAACCATTTTATTAAAAAAATCAATAAAATGACTGAAACTTGAGACTTTTTTTTATTTTTTCTGGATGTAAATCACTTTTTCGGATGATTATTTCCTCTGGTATCAGATGCTGCGCAGCTGGGAGAATTTTTGCTGAAACCGTTTTACTTTTAGGCATTTGTTATGATGCGTAACCACGGCAACAAGGTGGTTTTTTTTTAAAACTACCACGAGCAGCTGATTAACATCTCAAAAGCTCAAACGCCTCAACTACAGCCCCAAATCCCAAATGAGTTGAAAAGGAGGCGCCGTGGAAGAATTCCTGTCAACCTGGCGGCGGTGCTCGAGTACCTGACCACCGAGATCCCGGAGCTGGTTGGGAATCTCGGCTCATGAGGATCGGGATCATCCCCCAGCACCTTCAGCTGTCTGTCTGTGGTGACGAGGAGCTCGGCAGACTGCTGGGAGGAGTGACCATCGCTCAGGGAGGAATTCTGCCCAGGAGGACCAGGAGGCCCGCCAGATCTGACAGCAAGCTGGATCTGGGTGGATGGATCTGTGACCAGATTCGCTACAGGAGATCCTTCCTGCCCACAACTATCAGCATCTAGCAACTCTTGAATGGAACCAGGATGATGAGCTAGGACACTTCATTTCCCTCTGTGATTAATTAAGCATGTTTGAATTTGAATTTAAAGTCTCGCTTCCAAAACCTAGAAACAGCTCTGAGCAGTAACAGCATCGCTCAGTTATTGCATTTTATTTTGAAAGGATAATAAAGTGGAAACTATAGGCAGGGGTGAGCTCAGCTTAACTGACAGAACACATCTAACGAGGGGTGCACGGATAAATTTATCAGCCCCGATTTCCTTAATTTTGGCAAATTGGGAAATCGGCCGATACACGAGAAACCGATGTTACAGATTTTTTTTTTAGTTTTAACAACAATTGTTGGAACTTCATTTATCTTTCAGAGCACCACCTCACGGCCGGTTAAAACAAGTTTGCATTGTTTCTAGGATATTGTTCAAGGGTATGTTTTTTCAATCAAATAATGTTGGAAAATTGAAGGTGCATTGTGAACTTATAACACCAGACAGTGTCGCTTATAAAACAAAATCAGTATCGGTCAAAACCGGAATGAGCAGGTCAGACTTTTTAGAACTCGGTGATCGGCCAGAAAACTGCAATGGGCGCACCCCTACGTCTAACCCCATCACTGTATTTTATTTTGAAAGGATTATGTGATTAATTCTGAGCACAAACAGAAGAGCTGAAGCTCCAGCTCTGGATGTTCACGTCTCGTTAAACACTGGTCCAAATCTGCCTGTCTTCGTGTCTAAAGTGGATCAGAAAGATCTTGTTACTTCCAAGGTGGATCACCAAATGACGTGCATATGTGTACGCAAAACAAAAAAATAAACCATGGCTTTTTTTTAAATGTGGCCTCGCTGCTCGCAACACTCAGAGTTCATTTAGACAAAACCAGAAACTTCACTCATTTTTATCAAATTTTCCTCCAAATTTCAGTGAAAACTTCTGCTGTGAACACGCCGGCTCTTGCTGGAGCAGCGGGACGTTCTTCTTCTCAGCGTTCCTTTATTTCCTTATATCCAGTTGACGTTGCATCTTATTGTAACGTCCGCACTCGTCTCTTTTCTTTCTTCTTGTCGTAGAAAGAAAGGAGACGAGTGAGGAGCAACGATCTATGGTGCAACAACAACAAGAGAGGGGGGATGTGGTCTGACTCTGGGTTTACCACACACACACACACACACACACACACAGAAGCTCCCGGTCGACCTCGCCCTCTTCCTCCCACCCTGTAATTAACCCAAGAATAGAGCCGTTTAACGTGAGGAGTGGTCAACACACACACACACACACAGTTACATCACTTTATTAAACCCCGTTGCCATGACAACCCTGTCAGATGATGAAGCATCCTTCTGTTATCCCAAAACTGCATCCCATTGATCCTCCTGCAGGGGTTCCCATGACAACAGTGGGGTCAGGATGATAACAGCTGGGTCACGTGATCGGACACAATAAAGGTGGGGGGATGACCTCTGACCTGCACCTTCAGGTGTGTGTGTGTGTGTGTGTGTGTGTGTGTGGTCACCTGGAGGACAGTCGGCGGACTTCCCCGGACCGCAGTCCGGGCTCCCGCGGGGGAACGAGGTCCGAGCGCCAGGGAGTCCCAGTAGGACCAGTATGCAGCAGAGCCAGGAGAACCGGACCTCCGGAGCCATGATGGAGGGAGCGGAGGCGGGAGGGACAGATGAAGGTGAGGGGGGGTGGGGGGGGGGGTAAAAGGAGATAAAAATGTAAAAACAGGGAAAGAATCTCTTATTTTTCTGGTTTTCTTGGAGAAAAAAAATCAATGAGCCAAAAAAAAAAAAACGAATAAAAATCAAATATTTAGTTCCAGTTCGGGTCCATGAGTGTCTCCAGAACTCTTCTGGGTTTTCAGAACCAGAGTTTTCAGCTGAAAATGGGCGGATCGAACCTTTAAATCCGAGCCCAGGACAACAAAGCAGCCTGGGGCCTGGGGCTCCCCGCACCGACCCCCACACCTCTCTGCTCACAGCCCGGACTCAGCCTCCATCCCCCCGCTGCACAGCCCCCACACCGCCGGGGACACGAGCTACTGTACCGCCGAACCGAACCGGGCCGAGCTCCGGAACAACCGAACCACGAGAAGCTCCGCAGCGGCTCCAGCTGCAGCATCCAGGCCGAGGAGCGGTGAGCGCGCGCCGGGGAAGGTGGTCGGGATCGCTCGGTGGGTCGGACCCGGACTTTTTTCTTTTTTCCACTCCTCCTGTTGTTCCTCCACCGAATCACATCAACAAAGACCCGAACCACGTGACGTGCACGAGACCACGCCCACAGACCGAGACCAGCCCAGATCCCTGCAGGAACCGAACCGAGGTCCCAAATCAAAGAGCAAATGTACAAATATCAGAGATGACTTCATCATAACAGTAAAACACAAGCAGCAGCTTTCACTAACAAATATTTTTACTGCATCACCTGATCAAGGATTAAAGGGGTATTCCGTCGGTTTTGAAGTATAACCTATGGGTCATGAACAGTAAGCATCTTACCTGCTGCAGATAGCTTAGCGAGATCAGCCGTTTTGCATCTGCGTTTGATGGTGCCCTTATCTGACCACGTGGTTCAGTAAAAGCACTGAAGTTGGATACTGCATCGCCGGGAATGGACCAAAATGCATTGCGGCTCGAGTCGACACTGCAAGTTTAGCTAACCGAGGCTAATGCCCAAAGCAAACTTCAAGTTTAAAATAAGGAAACCACAACTACAGTTTGTTTGTATCGTTATAAAATACAGATCCGCAATAAACAGTTGAGGAATGGGTAAATTCAATAAAAACATGAAAATAAGTTTAAAAAAACATGTATTTTTATTTAAATTTGATGTGTGAAGCTTTTGTGTATTTCTGGAAAATCACCTCAACTATATCACTTTGAAATATCAAAGTGATATAATTTTATTATTTTATGACCATAAAATAATAAAGTTTGTTGGACATGTAACACATAAGTTTCCTTTCATAAAGGCAGAGACCTTTATTGACATTAAATTTATTTAATTAAGGTTTCCCCAAAGATGACATGTTGCTTCTAACTTTGTGTAATTTGTATTTCTGTTTTTTGTGAAAATAAATATTATTTCTATTTTAATTCGGACTTTATTTCAACCACTAAGAGACACTTTAGAACACGGTGGATCATAAACACTTTGGTTGCTTGCAGATATTTATTCTCTTACAGATTTAGTTTCTGTTTGGGCGTTTTTATTGAACTTTTGCTTCAATCTGAGCAACAAAACTGAATTAACCTGCTGAGAGCCAAACCGTTTAATTTTATTTATTTATATTTCAGGGTTAAACAACTTATTTTTTCTCATGCTGCCAGAAAAAACTGATGTTAGATGACAATATTTAGGATATTTAATTTAATTTAGTCCAAAATCAGTTATTATTCATTTTTTGTTTGTTTTTTAATCAGAAAAAACTGCTTCATGTGTTAAACTTTTGATTTAGTTCGTATTCTAAAGGCAATACAAGCAGTGCAAATTTCTTCCATAAATTTTATTTAAATGTTTACGTTAAAATCAGCTTTGTCTCTGTCGTCGTCGTTGGAAAACTCACTAAAATATCCCAAGCGTACTGATTCAAGTGTGAAAACTACACAGATACTACAAAAAATGTTTATTTAAAAGTTTTGATAATTTATATAAGAGCAGTAATGATTCAAAAAGCTGCCACTTGAAATTTGAAAGTGAATACACAAATTAAAAACATGAAAAATTAATTTGTCTTTCTTTATTTTAGTCAGCAGTTTGTCACTGACAACCTTTAGCCAGCAGGGGGCGCCATTTATCCGTTGATTCTCCTTCAGTTGAAAATCAATCAAAACTAAATTACAAAAGATTTATTTTGGTAAAAGTAAACTGTGCCATTTTTTTCCTTCAGAGAGAGTTAATTAATTTTTTTCTAAATTAAAAAAAAAGCATTTTTAGTTCAGTGTTTATTTGAAAAACAATAAAAGTTGTTTTATCCCATTTAAGTTTTATCTTTTGTCCCAGTCCTGCTAAAACAAAAAAAAAAAACTGTTTTTGTTTTATTTTATTTAACCTTTATTTAATGGTGAGAAGAAGGTGAAAAGAGAGAAAAACAAATTTTCCTCATTTTATTCGTATTCATTTTCCCTAAAGCTTCAAGTTTTACTTTTTCAGTTTATTTAAATGTTATTAATAAAATCAGACATTTGTGCTTACATTTGGTCCGAAAACATCCGTGAATTATTTAGTTGTTTTCTTTTGTGACTGAATGATTAATGTGAATAAACAGCATCTAACACCTCCATCATTTCCTGCTAAAAGCTTTCGGTTGATCAAACTGACTTTACCTGAAATCGTACAAAGAAAAACGTATCACAGCAGCGTGAGAGGAAACGTTAAAAACATTTATAAAAACGTTTAAAAAAAAGTTGTTATATCTACAGAAACCAGTAGAAATCTGGTCAACAGAACCTGCAGCTGATGAGCTCAACAGCTTTTATTAAAAACAAGCAAAAGAACAGATCAGTCAGTTACAGATGTTCAGCATCTGCAGACGAACCAAACGTCACTGATTATACCTGTATTTATCAGGTCTCTCTTGTAAATGAGTCCTCGAGGCTCAGTGGGATTAACCTGTCTAAATAAAGGCTGAATGAAAAAAAAAACTTAATTAAAACTCCTGAAACATGATTATGGATTTTTAAAATAACTTGTACGAAGCTGAACTTTTGATGTTTTCAATAAATTCAGACTTTTATCTTCATCTGTTCAATCGTTGGGTTCTCCTGCAGGGAACAGGGAGTGAACCGGAGCAGAACTTCACACAGATTGTTCTCCATTTTCTGCAGAATCACCCGAATGACTCCAGTGTGTGTGTGTGTGTGTGTGTGTGTGTGTGCTTATTTATGTTACTTTGTGAGGCCCATTTTTCAACATACTGCATTGTGAGGACCAACTGCTCTTTGTGGGGACCAAAGTCATAAGGTTCAAGTGTTGTTGGTGGATTAGGGGTTAGGTTTAGCGTTAGATATGTACTGGGAATTTATTATTTTTTATTAACCTTTTTTTAATAAAAAAAAAAGTTAATAATTATTTAACCAGGCAAATCCATATTGAAATCACAGACCTCTTTTGCGCAGGAGGCCTAAAGGCAGCCCAACCTGCACAGTTTTAGACTATATGGGAGGAAACCGGAGTACCCGGAGAAAACCCACGCAAGCACGAGAAGAACATGCAAACTCCAGAAAGACCCCAGTCCAACTAGGGATTGAACCCAGGACCTTCTTGTTGTGAGGCAACAGTGCTAACCACTGATCCATTGTGCTGCCAATGTTGGTAATAGTTTGGTTTAGGGTCAGGGTCAGGCTACAGAAATGAATGGAAGTCACGGCAAAGTTCCCGTAAAGATAATAAGACAAACCTGTGTATGTGTGTGTGTGTGTGTGTGCGTGTGTGTGTGTGTGTGTGTGTGTGTTGGGACTTGTTCAGACTCATGAAACAGAAGCTGATCTGTTGTTTGCTTTTAATGAACCCTCATGTGTTTCCAGATGAGGAGCAACAGAAACTAAAAGTACCGTACGGTACTAACATTTTGTTCCTTCCTTCGGTGGTTCTTGAAGCTTTTCTGTAACTCGTCCAAGAGTTTCTGATCTGAAGTCCTCCTCGGCAGGTCTCTCTCAGTGGGGGTTTGTGGGACTTCTTCACTCAGTTTCGGTCCTCGGACCTGAACGTTGTCATATGAATCTTTGTTTCCTTCTGTTTCATCCACCAGAACCTTTTGGTTCTTGTCAACATGTATTTTATTGAGTTTCTGGATTTTTGTGTTTTTCTGAAGCCCCTGAACCGCAGTGATTCAGAATGTGGCGCACCTTCACCATGAAGTTCAGTCTGAAAAGTTCTGGAAGTTTCCTCTGATCTTTGTCCACCATCTGAATAATCACTTCGATCAACCTGGGGACGCATTTTCTCTTGCGCTCAGGTCCTGACAGGCTGGCCACAGTCCTGTCAGCCTTCTACGTTTCAATAATGATGCCAGCTGTGCTTCCTGAACCAAAGGGATGAATCCGAGTTGTGCTCACACGTTACAGAGAATTTAACGTTTTAACTGGGCCCTTTGGTCTCGTTGTTCACAGCAGACGCATCATCCAGTTCTGTTTTGTTTTTGTCAGTTGAGTTTACAAAAAACTGAAGATGCACAGTTTGACAGGAAATCTGATTTTAGTTCCAACAAGGTGAGAAAGAGCTGAAACCTTGATGAACAGCTTCTCTGTTTTGGTTCTGTTTGGATTTCCCATAATTCCTTGTTTCCAGCTCTTACTATCAATGCACCAGTTGTTTTTCTTGTCTGTGTTTTTTTTGTTGTTGTTGCTCATCATCATCATCATTGTTTTCCATCCTCCCAGTCCTCGTCTACCGTCAGCTGCTCATCTTTCCACCATCTGCAATCGTCTCACCTGTTCCCACATCTTCCATCCCACCTGATTTCAGCCTCCTGGTTTCTCTCCATCAGATCCTCGTATGGACGTCCTGTTCACAAAAGCTCCTGGTGTTTAGGGTTTTATTTGTTTTGACCTTCCTGCTGTCTCATCCTCCGAGCACTTTGCTCATCAAACGTCACAACTATTTCACAACATTAACAACTAACATTACTCCGAGATGTTCTCCA